AGAACGTAAAATATAATACGTCCTATTAAAATAACGCTATGTGAAGAACAAGAAAATATAGTAAATGAGAGCAACGCAACTCGAAATTGACGTTTTCATCTTATTTATTTTGTAGTTAGTCGATTTAATTTTAAAAGTAGAAAGAACCTTTTTATACAAAAGATCGTTTGAAATTTTTCTTATTTACTTTTTTGTTTTCTTCGTTCTTCTGTTCCATTTTATAGGCCATACATATTATGTAAGCTTAAAAAAATAAAATTTGCATATTTTTAGGCATTTTGCTAAAAAAAATCGAATTTTGTTAAGAAATTTCAAACAGAACAAAACTTACTACAAAGTGATAGGAATAGTCACTTATCTATTTTTGTTGAACGCCAAGGCTTCAAATCGGTTTCTCAAAAACCTCAAGCTTGTTTGTATAAAGGGTGAGATCTGTAGATCCAGCACTCCAGCAGTATCATAACGGTCAAATCGCCTCAGTAAATAGTATACGTAAAGTTTACGGTAATAAAGTAAAGTCCTTACTTTCTTTCTAACAAACTTTTGAGGGAAACTTTATTTAAGATCGTTATTTTCCATTCGATAAAATCACGTCATTGAGCATGAAAAATTTATATATATATATGTATATATATATATGTATATATATATATATATATATATTTATATACAAGAACTTATATTCATATTTAGGTTGACATTATTTTTATGTTTTATTTATTTATAATGTGAAAAATTCATCATATTGTATGTAACTATATGTAACTCTAGATATGCACTTATATTTTCATATATAAATATGCTACATACACAATAACTTAAATAAACATATTGGAATTTCTTGTGACAACGATGACATTATGACAATGGTGGCGACAATAACACAACTCCAACCAAATATTGTAGCAAAATTCTTTCAAAAATGTTACGATCATCTACTCTACGTTTTAAAAAACAATGCTATGCAACATAGATATACATAGTATGTATGTATACAATGATTCATATACCGTAGTTTTCATATTATTATTAGTTTTCATTCTTATCCATTGGATTGAGAGAAAATTAGTTTTCTCATTTCATAAATAAATAAATAAAAAATTAAAATACACAAAATTGAATAAAAAAGGTGACAAACAAAGTAGGTAAATGCATTCACGTAGCATGTATGTATGAGTAAATAAGTATATACTAGTCGCATTCATTTATTTATTATTATAAAATAAAATATGTAAATATATAGATAAGGAAAACAGAAGATATCAAAAGCTATGATAATTTTTTTTATAAAATTTTTCTATTTTTCTTAAGATGAAAACTCATAAGATTTTAATTTTTGTATTTTTTTTGTTTTTTGTAAAGGGGAATCTCGGAATTTTAGAAATCTACATAATATTAAACAATGTATACATATATACATATGTACGTATTATAGCTGTGGGTGATTCATAAGAAAGAAATTTGTTCATAATTTCCAACTATAAGCAATAAAAACTAATAAATAATAGTGGGTCATATATAATGTTTATAGAAGACTAATGTAAATGATATAGAAGACACTCTAATAGTCTAATGTGTTCAGTGATAAGATTTTTTTAATGTTTTTTAAAATGAAACCTTTAATATTTAATGAAAAATATAAAAGAGTTTAAGAATATAAAAATATTTTCATTATAAAATGCATTAAAAAAACTTAATTTCATCCCAGTTCCTCTGAAAGATCTCAAAATTTAAGGTTATTTTGTAAACAAATTTAATTCTTATATAGTATATATATATATATATCATGCAATAAATTTTAGATAAAACAATTATGAATAAATTGCTAATAAATACCTTTAGTAAAAAAAAAATTAAATTTTTTCATAATTTTTCAAAACTTGATATTGTTGGTATTAAGCTCAATTCTTCAAGGCTCCAATTTTTCTAAGCAGACTTTTAAGTTTTATGTATCAAAAATGTATTAACCTGTCAGATCAGTTGTGATTCGAACTGTAAAAATTTAATTTATTGATATTCTTTAATATTAATTTGATTTGCAATATTTTTATTAAATGGCTGCGATAATGTGCAATAATAATTTGAATAAAAACATTTTTATTGCAATAATTTTCATGGCCAATAATACCCAATTTTCCAAATAATTTAAAAATTTTTCTACAGGAAATCTTTTTTAATTCTTCAAAACTGAAAATAAATTTCAGGAAAAAACAAATTTTTCTTAAATCTCTTTCTTCATTACACAAATCTAGCGTTTCAACATGGTTTGAATGTTAAATTAAAATTTGAACTTTTTCTATAAAAAAAAAACATTTTTATATTGGAGGCATTCATATGATAAAAAATTTTGTTAACGAAATATTGGGGATTTTCAATTATTCATACATGAACTTAAAGTCGTAATTAAAACACAAGAACTAACTTGTTTACTTTTTCAGATTTTTAATATCTTACATTTTATCAAAATTGAAATATTTTTGCAGCTTTTAAGAAAAAACATGTCACGATCTCGGAATAGTATCAAACGTGCTATCTTTGAAAATTTTGTAGTTTAAATTTTATTGAACAGTCTCTTTATATTAAGATCTAAATTAGAACTGGATTTTCAAAAGTCTTAATTTCCTGGAAATTTGCATTATAACCTAAAATTTTAAAATCTCTAAAAAGAAGTCTTACAAATAGTTATTGTGTCCTGAAATATTTAATACATTTATGGTTGAAGGAATTAAAATACAATTAAATTTTGATTTTCTTGGTTTTTTTTTTCTTTTTGTTTCTTCTCGTCTTCTTTATATAAGTATATATGTATAATAATATTAGAATTATATTACAATTTTTTTTTTATTATTTCCAATTATCTTAAAAACTAAAATTTATTTATTTTTAAAATATTTTGTTTCATTTAATTTTTTTACGAATTTTTTTTGTTTCTTATTTGTGTTTTTAAATAATTTTTAACGAAATGATAAAAATATTTGTCTGTTTTCTTTATTTATTTATTTGTTTTTTTTTTTTTTATTTTCAATTTTTTTTTTTTTAATATTTTTTTTTTAATAAAATTGTTTATAACTATTATAACTTGATCTATATGATAGAATTTCCAAATAATAATTACACAAAAAAAAAATATATTAATAATCATATGTTCCTATATATTTATATTTTAATAAAAAATATAAATTAATTTAAAATAAAAATAAAAAAAAAAAGATTAAAATTTTACAAGCCAGTTAAAAATTGTAATTTAAAATGAAAAATATATATACTTATATATATATTTAATAGATTATACATAAGTGGGGTGCCTCTTACGAACAATATTATATATAATTTTGCAAAAAAAAAAAATATTTTAAAATATATTTGTAATTACAATAATACGTGTATATTTAATTTTTATGTTATCATGTAATTATTTGCTTTTTTTTTTTTAAGTTCTGTAACAAAATACATAGTTAATAAATAAAATTTTCTATTTTAACATAATTAAATTTCTTTATGTTTATTATTATTTATAAAAAAAAAAATTTTACATACATATAAAATTCATGCACAATTGAAAAAAATGTTTTTCCTTGTGAAAATGTTTTATTTCATTAAATTTGTATTTTAAAAAACAAATTAACACTTTTTTTGTCCCCATATACCAATATTGGCAGACACTTTGAATTGCATATTGGCAAGAAATGGGTTAATTTTAATATTTATGTACTTTATTTTATTTTATTTAGTTTTTTATTTGTAATATTCAAGTATGTAGACTTTATTTATGAATTTAAATTTTTAATTACAATTAATTAAATAAATAATACATAAAATTTTATATTAAAATTTTTATTTATGAATTTTCACATTTTCATATGCATGATTTTGTATTGTATTTTCCTTTTATATTTCTTTTCTGTTTTGTTTCTATTTTAATTGTTAATAATATTATTATTTTTATAAATTATTTTCATTTAAATATAATTTTAAGAATTTAAACACATCTATTGAGGAACAAATACTCTTGAATTTAAATAGTTTATTTTTAACATAAGTGTTTTTAAAGATAAAAGGTTTTATAAATAAATTATATATTTGTTTTTTTTTTTTTGTTTTTTAATGAAAATTAAAATTCTGCAGAAACAATTTATATTTTAAAATATATATGTTATACATATTATATAAATAGGTATGTATATTTAAAATTATAATAGATATTAATTTATTTATCACTTTTTAATTATTCACATACATATTTTCTATCAGACGCATCTCTTGAAGTAATAAGATTATTTATTCAAAAATTATGCAATTTTCTAAATAAAATCTGATTTCAAAATTTGAAATTCTATTCTGAAAATCTCATTACTTTTAATAAATAACCCATCAATTTAAGTAATGAATCTGACTGAATATGGATGATTATTATCAAAATAAAAACAATTAATTAATTATTTTCAAATATCTAATTTATAAAAATTTTTTTTTTAAAGAATATTCTATGGAATTGAAAAATTCTAATTAAAATAATTTATTTACGGAATTCATGGAAAAAATTGTGTGTCATTTTCATATTTATTTTTTAATAAATAAATGTTAAATAATTTTTGTTGTAATAACTATAAAATACACTATTCAAAATCTAATTTTTCACATTAAATTTATAAAATAATAAAACAACACTTTCTTATAAAAAAGTACAAGTTTTAACTTATTCTTAAAATTGAAACAAATTAAATAAAAATAAAATAAAATTAGTTTATTTTGATGATTTTTCGTTTTTTTTTTTTTATAAATTGAATAGTGTTATAGGTTGCTATTATTATTGAACAGCTTTTCAAGCCATTTAAAAGAAATTTTATTAATGAGATCCTACAACTTTTCAATTAAGTTCTTTTGAATAAGCAAAGATTTTTTTTATAAAAAGTTTTAATATTTTTCATTTCATTAAAGAAGAACATGAAATTTCAAAGCAAAATTAATGATAAAATTTTAATTGAATGTTTAGCAATTAATAAATTTTGTTTTTTTTTTTAAATTATTTACAATTCAAAATAAATAAAAACTATTAATTAAAATTACTTGAATTAATTTAAAACTTGTTTTTTCTCAAAAAAAAAAAAACACGAAATCATAGTAAGAAAAATTTAACGCCCTGCTTTTAAGATAATTTTACGGTTTTACAAATATAGGTAGCTACTCTATTTTCTAATTCTAATTTATAAAAAAAAAATTATTCACAAAAAATTATTAGTGCCCATATTTAATTTAATTTTTTTTTTTGCCTCCGAATAACCGAAAAACAAAGAACCGTTTATGAATAAAAAAAAATAATTATTAAATAGAAAATAAAAATATTATATAAAATTTTTCTTTTTTTTTAAATTAAAATTTTATCTTTCTTTTATTTTTTAAATATATTACAGGTACTTTTGATAAGGTTTGTCATTATCTGTTGTTGTATTAGTAGTATCACCACTTGAAATTTTATTCCCAGTAGCTGATGCAGCAGCAGCTGCTGCTGCCATTTCAAATGATGGTGGTTCAACTGTACTATCTACAATCGTTGGACTTACCGTTTTATTATGTCCTCGACCTGTATTTTCACCGCGTGGTTTACGACGACCACGACCACGACCAACACCAGTACCACTTGCGCCCGTACTTTTACTTTTTTTATTTTCTGGCGGTAATATAGATGCTCTCTTACCGGGACGTCTTTTTTTTCTTTTTTTATTACCATAACGCGGATCATAATCATATTCATCATCAGCTGGTGATTTTGGTTCTTCTATTGGATCAATATCATTTAATTCTATATCATCATAAAACCATTCTTTTGGTAAATCATCTTTTAATTGCTGTTGTTGATTTTGGCTATCTTTACTATCTGATGTATCACCACCAATACCTAATGATGATGATTCATCTAATATTGTTCCATTTAAATCAGAATTAACTGTTGTTTCATCTACTGGAACTAATTCTTTTTTTTGTGTTTGAAATGGTCTATCATAGCAATAACGCGTATAACTATTGCTAAAAAGAAAATGAAAATGAATGATATGAAAATGTTTAATAAGGCTATAAGTAAAGAAATGTGTGCGAGAAATTGGCAACTATAAATAAAATACCTTATTGATTTTGTCAAATATTGACGACGACTTTTTCTCCATCTAGCTGAACAATATGTGTATACTTGACCTTGTTTGAAACCTGAAATTTTCATTTTTTATACAGCTGTCTTTATTTACGTACTATTCAACTTACCAGGCATTCGATTTCTTTTATTCATTAATTGTGTATTATTTTGTGCAACACCCGTCTACAATTATAAAAATTTTTTTTTAATTCTCATTTGAGAAAATATTTATAAAATATTAAAATCACCTGCGTATCAAGGAATGGCTGTCTACTTTTTCTTTCATACATTAATCTCTTATTAAAATTTGCACTAAATTCTATTTGTTCCCGGTATGTATAATCATTCAGATAACTTTCAATTCTTGCTAAATTTGGGGGACTAACAATTTGTATATCAACAGCCGAAGACATCTTTATCAGTTGAATAAATGGGAAAATTATTCTTCTGTTTTTCTTGATTTTTTTTTCGAAAATTATCTGATAAACTTTGAAGGATGATGTAGCTCTATATGATTGTGATGTGATGGCTATTCAGAATGTCAAAATTACGAATTGATTATACAAAATTACTGTATTTACGGTCATTTCGAACCCGAATAATTTAAATATTTTTAATTAATATTTAATTTTTAAAGTATCCATATATTGGATATTATCACTTTTTATGAATTTTATTCCACAAATTAAATTTTTGAAAAGGACTTGAATTAAGTTTGGTGAAAAAAAAAATTGACATTAGCCGCTTGCCCATATAACAAATTTATGCAAAGAATTCACAACCCATAAAACAATATTTAAAAAAAAAAAAATTGTTAATTCCCCTCATAGCTGGGGTTAAACACAAACCCTTTTTCAATTTTTTTGTTTCTATCTAAACTTTTTACCATATGAACAAAATTTTCATATTCAAATTTGTGAACAAGATTATATAAATCTCTGGTTCTTTAAATATTATATGTGTTACTAAATTTGCTTTAATTCTTATCTTAAAATTAAATTTGCTGCTAAAAGAATTTTACCTATTTGGCCTTTTGCTCATAAAAGAATTATAGAACAAGGTCAACCAGTAAGAAGTTTTTTGTCTGAGATAATCATTTTTAAAAATTATTCCAATTATATATAGAAAAATTAAATCTAGTGCAAGTTTTTTATGTTACGCCTGCAAAAACAAAAATTGCAAAGTTAATACCGTAATTTTTTTAAACTTCTCTCACTAGATCTCGCTTTATGCGTTAGATTGGAAAAATTTACTGATCTAATGTCAGAATTTATTCAACACAGAAGGAGAGTAGAAACAAATGTTTATATTTTTGATTTGACATACTGGAGTTGTGCTTGTTTTCTAATTCGCTTGTGTATAACAACTATACAAGTAAATAAGAGAAAATTTTTTTTAATTAGATATATTAAAAGTAAAATATAATAAAAATTGTAAATAATGGCTAATCCGCCAAAATTTCCTGGTACTGGACTTGAAGAAGTAAACATACCAGGACAAGAATATTTACAGGAGGCTCTTACATCTTGTACTGATCCGCTCAAAGCAATTGAAAGTTTTCAGGCATGTAATAAATATTAAAATTAATGTATTACTGGTTAAAATGTGCATATTGTAAATTTTAGCTTGAAAATGGAATATTGTTGCCATCATTACGTCCAATGTTGCCGCTGCTTGATCTTCATGGCGTTAGAAGACTTGATTTTCATAACTCTGTTTTAGAAGTGATTATTATTAAAATAAGAATAATGTATTTGTGCTAATAGTTTACATTTTATAGGAATTACGTGACAAACTGATTGAATACATAAACGAATTAGGCAAGAAAGATACAAAAGAAAGGGATAAGAAACTAAAAGAATTATTGGTAAAAAGTTTTCCGGTAGTACGTGTTAAAGCTTTAAGGCCAGTTGTAATGTGCATTTTGAGAAACACAACTCACATTGACGACAAATATTTAAGAATTTTAGTTAGAGATCGGGAATTATATTCTGACACAGATACTGAAGTAAAACGACAGATATGGAGAGATAATCAGTCATTGTTTGGAGACGAAGTTTCACCTCTTTTATCACAATATATTCGGGAAAAGGAGCATGTTCTTTTTGATCATACCAACTTAAATAATCTTTTTTTTAATCCATCTCCAAAAGTAAGGCGTCAAGGGGAAGTTGTTCAAAAATTAGCTCATATGATTGGTACAAGTGTTAAGTTATATGATATGGTACTTCAATTTTTGCGTACCCTATTTCTTAGAACTCGAAATGTTCATTATTGTACTCTTAGAGCAGAATTATTAATGGCTTTGCATGATTTAGAAGTTCAAGATATTATTTCAGTAGATCCCTGTCACAAATTTACTTGGTGTTTGGATGCATGTATCCGTGAAAAAAATGTGGATATAAAAAGGTCAAGGGAACTGCAAGGGTTCTTAGATAATATAAAAAGGGGGCAAGAACAGGTTTTGGGAGATTTATCTATGACATTATGTGATCCATATGCCATAAACTTTTTGGCAACTTCAGCTATAAAAATTCTTCACCATTTAATCAATAACGAAGGTATGCCAAGAGATAATCAAATATTAATTTTATTACTACGTATGCTAGCACTTGGTTTGAGTGCTTGGGTCATGATTGATTCACAAGAATTTAAAGAACCTAAATTAGATAGTCAAGTTGTTACTAAATTTTTACCAGCTTTAATGTCATTGATGGTTGATGATCAATGTAGAAGCTTACATTCCAAGTTACCTCCAGATGAAAGAGAAAGTGCTCTTACAACAATCGAACATTCAGGACCTGCTCCTGATGCAGTCGAAGCCTATATTCAGGAAAGTGCTGTTGCTAGCATTTTAGCTATGTATTATACCTTACATACTGCAAGATTAAAAGATAGAGTGGGAATATTAAGAGTTTTGGCTATATTGGCTTCATGTAAAGATGATCGAGCGTATGAAGATCCCTTTTTACATTCGTTGGTAAATTATATTAAAATTTTATATTTTGTTCAGCAATTTGCATTAAATAATAAAATATTTTTTTTTTAGATTGCCCTATTGATTCCTATGAGCGATGAATTCAGTACTGAAGATTTTTGTACAACTTTATTCGATGAATTCTTATTTGCTGGACTAACAAGAGATAATGTAACAAGACATATGCTTAAACTATTATGGTATGTTCATGGAAAACTACCTTCAGCACGTTTAGCCAGTTTAATGAAAACGATGCAACCAACCGCCCAACATCACGAAAATGTTCATAAATTATATGATAGTTTACAAGAACGAATTGGTGTTCAAACACAAGAAACGCCTGCAGCTGAACCACCAGAAACTGATTTTGATTCTCCATTAAAAAGTGTACCCACCCCAGGACCTCATTATATGCAGTAAAATTTTGAATTTTTGAAAAAAAAAACAAAATTAGATATAGTTATACAGATATAGACAAATAAAATTAGTTTAATAAAATTATTAAAATCTTCATTTTAATTCGAATATGTTAGGTTGTGAGAGAAGTTTTAATATGGCTCACTTATTCTTTTTAAGTGCCTCTTATATCAAATACGGATAAACCGTAAAGACATTAAAAATTAAGCTTAAAATTTATTATACAAATTAAATACAAATTAAATTAAAGAAGTATTTAAAAACCACAAATTTAATTTGTTTGGTTTTTATCCAAAATTTCTGAAATTTTCGCAAAATATATTAAATAATATTAAATAATCGTTGCAAATATGAATATTGCAAATGTTCGCACGTCCATTTTTTTTAGCAATGTTACCGTTTATACTGTAATCTATGCTGTTCATAATTTGGTAACTTTCTCTCAAAAACAATACTTGTAGCGTTCTACAAGTAATTGAATTTTAAGCTCTTATTGATTAAATTCACTACTATAATCAAATTTAAAATAATATTAAATCAATTTAAAATCTATTACTCAAAACCACCAATATTCCTACTTATAATATATATTATAATATTCAATGTATAATTAATTGTAAAAATTTAATGGCAATACTTCTGACTGTACTTATCTGACTGTACCTACATAACATAACTATAACATAATATGTATTGAAACAGTATGCAAACACACACCTGCTAACAATTTAAAGCGGTGTTATGTTATTTTTAAATATGTATGTACACATGTACAAACAGCGTGTTAACAAAATTAATTAACATTTTATATTTGAATTGAGTTTTTAGAAACGGTTTTCATTATTTTCATTTTTAAAAAAAAAACGAAAGTTAAAATAATAATTAATATTTTCATTTATATTTTTAAAAAAATTCTAAAGTTTTCATCAGTAGCTAGTTTAGATCAATAATTTGCAATGTACCTTGTTTAAATTGGCTCGTTCGCTTTTGAGTAAAAGGTAATAAAGTCGCTTATTTAACTACTCTGTAATATCAATTTTTTTATCATTAATATTTTATTCGTTTTGATAAAAATTTACTTGCGATAACAGTATGAGCATTCGTATGTATATTATTAAGTGTATACTGATAGGTATATGTACATATCTAAATGTTCATAATTTTCTGGAAAAAAATCTGATAAGATTAAACTGAACAACAAAAAAAAAAATGAATAACTTACATATGTGTAGTAAGAACTTCGAAAATATAGACAATTATGGATGTATGTGCCTTTAATATAAATCAGAAGTATGTATAAACGTCGTGATTTTATTAACATTTTTTTTTCAATTTAGTTATTCTTAATTGTTCTCTGTAATATAAAAAATTAATCTTTGCATTAATAATGTGTCATAATTTTAGTGAATATAATTAAAAAAATTATAATAAAATAATTTTGTTATTAAAATATAGATTATATATTTAAAGTAAAAAAAAAATAAAATAAAAAGAAATATTAATATTTAATATAATTTAGAAAAAAATTGATAGTTTTTAAAAATGGTTGATAACACATATCCTTATTATGATCAAGATTGGAGCGTTTTGCCACCAGATCAAAATCGAAGGTAGGTTCATTCATAATTATATTATAAATGCGTACATTTGATTAAATTACGAATTTCTAAAAAATATGATGAAATTTGTTTGAAAATTAAAGTTTTTATGAGGATTGACTTGACCTATATATTAGAAATACACCCCCTCAAAATTGTTATCGTAATGACAAAAAAATAACCAAAAATTTGTTAATACTGCGATCGTAAGCATTTTTGATAACAAATACTAGGATTAAAAGACATTTATAAAAGAAAAAAACTATTCTTTATTCCTACAAAAATTAAAAAAATAAAATAATATTATTTTCTTTAAGCAAATTTTAACTCATTTTGATAATACAAATTCTGTATACATCAATAATAAATTTAATTTTATATGTAGTTGTTGCGCTAATATCATAAATAATAGATAACACCTTATGTATCTACGGGTATACAATAACAAGCATTTTTAATTTTCACATGAGTAAAAACCTAGATATTAATATCTTAAGTTACTATTTTTATCGTACGCATCTTGTTGTTTTCAAAAAATATAATGACGTGTTATTGGTAAATGCAGGTAAATGTAAAATGTAATTTTAACAAAAATATAATATTAAATTGCAAATCTTAACAGTATATTTTAAAATGCAACAGGAAAATGTTAAATTTAATTGTAATAATAATAATTTTTCTGAGTTTAATGTTCAAACGATCTAAATTAATATCTGAATAGTGTATCAATATTTTTAACATTGAAAAGAAAACTATTGAAAAAAGAAAATGAAAGCCATAAATATTCAAAATTTTTAAAAATTTATTAGTATTTCAAATTCTAACAGATTCAAACTAGTTTCAAAAATTTTATTATGGACACGAATCATTTGTCAGAATTGGTTTGACCATACATTAATACAATCCCTGCAATTGATCTTCAGTAATCAATACTCGATAGTCGGAAGTCAAAATAAGTCGCAATAAATACTTGTGGATTTAAATCCTTTATAGCATCAAAAATCAGATTCAAAATGACATTCAACTTGAGGGAATTTGAAGTGAGGATATGATGTGAATTCTGAAATAAATTGATAATTAAATAGTTCACTTACTCAATAAATTTTTAAAATAAATACTTGTTTACATTCTCAAATATGTTTAACTTATACTTACGTGATATTTATCGTAAAAATTAATTCTGTTTTTTTTTTTTTTTTTTAATTCATTATAGATTTGAACCACATATGTGGATATGTATGCATATTGGTTTGTAGTTAAAATATTAAATTTTAATTGTTTTTAATTTTATTTAGTTTGATAACACTGTCTTTTTTTGTTATCAATTTAATTTTATTTTAAAAAATAATAATTTCTTTCTAGTTGATTTTTATTACAAAAAATTTGTGAGAAAAATTTAAAGAAATTTAATATTTAATGATTTCTTTACTTTCTGTGCCAAATAAAGTATATAAATTCTCTATTTTACCATATAGAGTTAGAAAAAACTAAAATTATTTCGTTTACGATATATTGTGCATTTCTAAGATTACCATTCAACTTTTATTTTCGATGATTTTAATATTTTTTTAAATAATTTTTAATATTCTAACATTTTTTTCTTTTTACACCAAGTATGTATCTTCTTCGTTAAATTTTTTTTTACGTTTAGTATGATGCTATAATATAAATTTTTATAATATTATTGTGCTATAAATTTTTTCCAATCAAAATTAAATTAAATAATGCAATTTCATTGTTTACTGGATTCAAAAATAATAACATATTGTTTACTGGGTAAAAATAAAAAGGTTTACAAAATCTCTACAAAATTTAAAACGTCATCAATGTCAAATTTTAATTTTTGTCGCATAAGTATGAATGAATTACAATTATATATTTTTTAAAAAAATATATATTTATCTTTGTTTTTCTTATTACTAAATGTCATTATTATTCATCGTCATTTTAACCTATGTGTTGGACATTCCAAGTTTTATAAGTTTAATAAAAAAAAAAAAAGGAAATTGTGTGTTTAAAGTATTTTATACAAAATATAAAAAAGAAAAACTAGAGAATAAAATAAAGTTCTTGTAAATTATCTTGTTCTAAATTTAAATAGTATTATTTGTATGAATTTTAATTTAAATGTTATTTATTTTATATAATTTTTTCTAATAGAACAAAAAAAAAAAGAAAAGAGTGCACATTCCGTGTAAATAAGTGAATTTTTTTTTTTTAATTGCATATTTATTTGAATATATTGTACCATTAAAACAAGTGTTTTAACCATCATACAACTTTTTTAATAAAAAGAAATGAAAGAGTGATTTTTTTTTTTTGTAATCTGCTGTATATAAATATTTTTTTTTCATTTGGATCTTGTTTTTTTCTTAAAAATAATATTTATTTGCATATGAATCTTATTGTTTCATTGTATGTAGATGAATTCATCCTGCCTTAACAATATTTTTTTTTGTTGAAAATATTGTAGTTATCACAAAAGCAAAAAAAAAAAAAAACAAGGAGAAGTATGTTTGAATTAAAAAAAAATAGTTTTTTTTAATTTCTAAATTCGATTATTGTATTTGATACCTAAAAAGCCTACAAATCTAGGTACCTAGTATGTTTTTTTAAGTTTTAGAAAATTTAAAAGAGATGCACGTCCTGCTGCTTTTTAAAATAAAAAATTTTGTATTAAGAAAAAAAAAAAACAAAGAAAAAAAAGAGATGTGAATTTTAAATTTTTCATTATGCAAGATTTTAGAGAGAAACTAAAAATTTTTTTTTATATAATTTTAATATTATTGTTGTGATATAGACTTTTCTAAAAAAAAAAGGAATGAAAATTGAAATTTAATATTGTCACTGTTTGATTTTTATGTAGTATACCTACTTATTTCTTACAAAAAGCCATATTTTTTTTTTAATTTAATTCTTTTAATTTATCTCAATTTCAATATCTAAATATTATACTAAATAACAATATAATAATACATTATTAATAAAAGAAACAAGAATATTCAAAAAGTAGTTAATAAAACTAAATGTCTTGACTGTTCTTCAACATCATACTAAACTCTAACCTATAATCTATGCCAACCTTCAAGTAGAGATTCTTAAATTTTTAATTTTACACGAAAGTATAATACAGCCATATACTAGTAATAAAATTTAATTGTACATGAAATTCATATTAATATCTAGATACATTGTAGGCAGGGTACACCTGTCTACCTATGTCAATGTAAATATATTGATATACTCGTATCTACCTGTATTCAAGTTGCCACAACAATTCATTCCTCAAATTCATTGAGAATAATTTAAAATTTATGACCATGTTTAAAAAAAATTTCAATAGAAAAAAAAGCGCTAAAAAATTAAATGTAATTAAATATATTTTTTTTTAATGTCAGGATAAAATTAGCTCCACTTTTCTATAAGATAAAAAAAGAAAAACCTAAACAATTTAAAATTTTTTTATACTTATATACCTACATATACTTATTTACCTATAAGTAAATAAATAAAATAAAAGTCAAATTACTTAGTAATTAATACACGTAATCGAATTTATTATAAAAAAATAAAAAAACAAAAAAGCTTCAATATTTTTTTCGTAGGAAGGCAAAAATAAAATAAGAAATAAAAATTAAAGAAAAAATCCGAAAAAAAATTTTGACGATAAAAAATCTGTGACAAAATGAATTCAGAACATGGGTAATTGATTTTTTTTTTCGTTTATTTTCTTTTTTATTATTATTTGATAATTATCCGTTCTTTTATTTTTTTTTTTATTGTTTAGATATTACAATTTATATAAATTCATTTATCATTAATGTTTTTGATTGATTTCAAAAAATTAGGGTTTCATTAGTGAGTGACAAAATTTTGAGTCTCTCAATTCTTGAACTTTATTTGAAGATAGAAGATTTATTTGTGTAGGCAATTTGGTACTTACCTATCTACCTACTTATACCTTACTACCTACTTACCGATGAATATTTCTAGTAATCATCTAAGTAATGGCTCATTTAAATATGCTTTAATTATTTATTTATTAATTATGATAATAGGGCTGATAATCAAAAGAGAGATTGATAGGTTTTGTAAGACAAATTTAGAATATTTGAAATCGTTAACAAGATTTTATTTAACCACATAATTATATACATTAATTAAATATCTCAATTAGAATAATATTTGAAATATTAGTAATAATTTAAAATATTTACTTACATAAAATTTTGATAAATTTATAATATAGTTATCCTTTCTCAATATAGGTAATTGTAATTGGGCAATAAATTTTTTTTTTTTCAATTTTGTTTCTTATAAGATTTCTTATAAGATTTTTCAAAACATACTGCGCCACTTAAATTATGTTGAGTAGTCATCATCACATAATCATCGATCTACATATTGTAGGCATGTAGGACACATTTATAGATTTGTTCATTGTAACTCAAAGCAATGCGATAATTTTATAATATATCTTAAAATTATATTTAATATAATTGATGAATTCAAAAAAGAAATAGGATTTTGCCATTTATTAATTAAGAATCCTTTTATTTTATTGAAAATGTTATTTACTAAATTAAATGGGTAAGTAGGTGGATAGGTACCAGGTTTATTTTTTGTTAATTTATCTTAATTTTTATTATTTTTGTTTTGGCAAAATTTTTTTAATTTTTTAAATTTACTTCTAATAAATCAAATGTTAAAAATAGTTCTGACCTAAAAATGTAAAAAAATTTTACATTTTCAAAATGTTTAATGTCATACTTATTAGGAAAAATATTTTCAAAAGGGAAAATATTTATTAAAACAATAATTTTCAAATAAAACAAATTTTTTATACTTACCCGAGATTCCTTAAAATATCATGCATGAGTAATAAGTTTTTTTTTTAAAAACTAATTTATGTAGAATTTAGCAATCAGGTTTTTTTTTAATATTTTATTTTTGTTATTAATTTAATAACTCAATTGCATTTTCGCATCAAATAAAAAACTTGATCTGCATTAACTTGATAATAATTATTAGTTGATTGAATTTATAATTAAGTTTTATTATTTAAATTTAAAAGTGATGTTATACTCATATATTTTAAAGCACTATAATATAAATTAGGAAAGTAATAGTTAACTTAAAAAATAGTAATATATTCCCTGAAATTTAGTATTAAGAAAATACTACAGAAATTTGAAATTAAGAATAAAAAATTTATGCAATAATAAAAAAATATGTTGTATCTTCGCTGCACAATATTTTGTTAAGCAATTTATTAAGTTGATTTAAATTTTTATTTTTCAATTATATAAGTATTTTTAATTCTATAAATTAAAAACATTTTGCTGACATAAATTTCTTTTATTACATAAATTAATATTTAATTTAAAAGAAAAAAAAAATTCTTTTTGCATGACTGATATTAAGTAATTAACAAAAATATTTTCTTTTGTATGCGATTTATTAATTTTTTTTAGGTTTAATCCAGCATTTAATATGGCTACAATACGCCAAGCATTTAATGAAGCTGTCGAAAGGGGTAATAATTTTATATATACTTAACATTTGTCTTTAAAAAATATTATTTGTAAATAATTAATTTTATATATATGTATATTTATTACTATACTACATAATATAGTAATTTTTGTTTTCATTGTGTTTCTTTTCTTGTTTCTGATTATTTTTATAATTCTCAATTTAAAATATGTAATTATGTAATTAATTAATTTATTATTATTATTTTTTTTTTGTAGTGAGAATGCCCACACCTACAAGATTAAGAGATTTAATTAGACAAATTCGTGCAGCGCGTACAGCAGCTGAAGAAAGAGCTGTAGTTAATAAAGAATGTGCCTATATACGTAGCACGTTTCGTGAAGAAGATTCTGTTTGGAGGTAAAAATATTTACGAAAAAAAAAAAGGAATAATCAATTTATTCGTTTTTTTTTTTTTAATTTTAGGTGTAGAAATATTGCAAAATTACTTTACATACATATGTTAGGATATCCAGCACATTTTGGTCAACTAGAATGTTTAAAGTTAACAGCAAGTCCACGTTTTACAGACAAACGAATTGGTTATTTAGGTGCAATGTTGTTATTAGATGAAAGACAAGATGTTCATTTATTAATAACAAACTGCTTAAAGAAGTATATAGCTTAAAATTAAAATGATAAATAATTTTTACATATTTCAAAATACATCTAAATTATTTAAATTAAAAATTTTTAAATTATTTTAACATTTCTAAAATAGTTCTTATTTTCGTTTGAAATTTTATACAAAAAAAAAAATGTTTATATAATTTTTTGTTTTACTTAACTATAATGTTTTTTTTTCTATTTCAATTTGTAGTGATTTAAACAGTTCAACACAATTTGTCGTCGGTTTGGCGCTATGTACATTAGGTGCAATTGCTTCACCAGAAATGGCAAGAGATTTAGCAAGTGAAGTTGAAAGATTAATGAAATCACCAAACACTTATATACGTAAAAAAGCGGCATTATGTGCGTTTCGTGTTATAAGGCGTGTACCGGAATTAATGGAAATTTTTTTGCCAGCAACAAGATCTCTTTTAAGTGAAAAGAATCATGGTAAATATTCATAATAATATTTTTTTTATGTATGAAAATAATTAATTTTTTTTTTATAATATTTTAGGTATTTTAATTACTGGAGTAACTTTAATAACCGAAATGTGTGAAAATAGCGTGGATACTTTAAATCATTTTAAAAAGGTAATTATTTAATGTTTTACACGGGAAAAAGAACACTAATTAATTTATATTAATTTTTTTTTTAATTTAGTTTAGAAAGCTAAAGCATTGCTAAATTATTTTATTAATTTGATGTGTTATGTAGAATTTAAATATTTAATCTAATTAAATTTAAATAATTTATTTTTGAAAGTAATTTATAAACAAAAACACAAAGTATTAAGATTAATAGCCTAGGCTAATATTAATGCACATGTTTTAAAAATGTTTTTCATAATAATTACAAGTAGTGAATTGAATATTAATGAAAAAATTTTTATTTTTATTATTTTCGTAAAAAAATAGTTTCCTCTTATTACTTATTATTTTTATTAATTATTGACATTATTTTATAATAATATTTCTAATTTTTAAATAGCATTCCATAGATCAAAATTATTAATAGTTTTTGTATTTTTCTTTTAGTTCAACTAAAATTTAATTATGTATTCAGTAAGAGCGGAAAGTAGCTAGATTTTTTAAAAAATATTTTAAAAAAAAGCTTTCTGTTATAAATCACTTTAATTTGTCAAAGCATTATTTTGTTTTTAAGAAATAAACTTTAAAACTTGCCGAAAAAAGCATATATCTTTAGGCAGTCCTATTGAAAACAAAAATATTCTAATTTCTAAAACCTATTTTCAATCATATATGCGTATAGAAGCATTCATTAAAGAACATTAAAATTTATTAAATAACCTACATATGTATTAAAACATCTAGCTATCATGAATTTCATTTTGAATACTAACGCCGTAAAATCATTTTTTAAAATATTGTTTAGCAAATTTATTATTTTACAAATTTTCCTTGAAGTTTGCAAAATATTTAAAATCGAAAAAACTGTCTTAATTGCGCCGGCAATTAAGTTTTTAGTTGTTAATTTTCATTTCACTTTTTTTCCTTGTTGAAACACTTTTTTTTTTTTAATTTTAAAATTTAATACCAATATTATTTTTGATTTGATCTATTTATACAAACCAATTTGCACCAAATTTGAATTTTGATTTTTAATATGAATTAAAAAATGGTTTCTATATTACATATTTTTTATGTTATTGCTATGCCAGGATAGTGGAAATCGAGAGGTATGCAAAACGCTATAAATGAAAATATGGCTGTGAAAAATTTTATTTAATTATTTTTTTTTTTAATTTAATGTATAATAATTAAAATATTATAAAATAATTTATTTTAAGTTGAATTTTAACATACATACATATATACATTATGTACTATACATTAAGTAAATGTTAAAAATTTTTTGTTATAATTACATATAATTATATTATATTTTTTATGTATGATTTTATGAAATTATCAGAAGAATCGGATTAGAAATTAAAGTTATTTTTTTGCATGTTATTATTTTAGATCGTCCCAAATTTAGTAAGAATTTTAAAGAATTTAATATTGGCTGGTTATTCTCCAGAACATGATGTTAGTGGTGTTAGTGATCCATTCCTTCAAGTAAAAATCTTAAGGCTATTAAGAATTTTGGGTCATAATGATCCAGATGCATCAGAAGCAATGAATGATATTTTAGCTCAAGTTGCAACAAATACTGAGACTAGTAAAAACGTTGGCAATACAATATTATATGAAACTGTTTTATCAATTATGGATATACGGTAACATTAATATTACTATTTAATATTGTAATAAAAAAACATCTAATTTAATTTTCTTTTTTGTATATTTTTAGTTCGGAAGGTGGTTTGCGTGTTTTGGCTGTTAATATTTTAGGCCGATTTTTATTAAATAGCGATAAAAATATACGTTATGTTGCTTTAAATACCTTATTAAGAACCGTGCATGCCGATACATCAGCTGTACAAAGGCATAGAACAACTATTTTGGAATGCTTAAAGGATCCTGATGTATCAATACGTAGGCGTGCTATGGAATTATCATTTGCTTTAATAAATTCACAAAATATTCGTACTATGACCAAGGAATTATTATTATTTTTGGAGAAAGCTGATCCAGAATTTAAGGCACATTGTAGTTCTGGCATGATTTTGGCCGCTGAACGCTATGCACCATCACCGCGCTGGCATTTAGATACTTTATTAAGTGTCTTAATAGCTGTTAGTTTTATACTTTTATTCTTTTAAAAACAACTTTATTATTTTGAAAATTTTATTCAATTTTTTTAAGGCTGGTAATTATGTTCGAGATGATGTTGTTTCATCCACTATTCAATTAATATCAGGAAGTTCTGTACCAGAACAAACATATATAACAAGTCGTTTATGGGAATCAATTCAAGTAAATAATCATTGTGAAGATAAACAGCCTTTACTTCAAGTTGCTGTTTGGGCAATAGGTGAATATGGTGATTTATTTATGTATGGCGAAAATCCTGAAGGTAATTTAATTAGTTATTATAATATATTTGATTCATTACATCATATAGGAAATTAATGAATAAGTTAAAAAAATTTTTCTTTCGGCAGAATTTGAAAAACCTCCCGAAACTGAATTGATTGCACTTTACAATAAATTTTTAACTTCTGCTCAAGTATCAACAACAAGTAAGCAATACGCTCTCGTTTCACTAGTTAAATTAAGCACAAGGCTACAAAGTGGTCAAGAGTAAGAAAAAATTAACAAAATAAAGGGGAAAAAAATTTATTTGTTATAATTTTAGGGAAATTAAAGCATTAATAGAGACATTTGGTACACATTTGAATGTAGATTTACAGCAACGTGGTGTCGAATTTACTCAACTATTTAATTCGCATCAACATTTAAGGCCGCCCTTATTAGAAAAAATGCCGCCGTTACAAGTTAATCGTTCTTCACCACAAAACAATTCAAACAATTCATATGAAGAAAACGGATCTGAATTAATTGAAAATGGTTTAGAAGAAAGTGAACAACATAATCAAGGAGACCAATCAAATGCATTATTAGATTTATTGTGCGGTACAGATATAAGTCCATCAGACGTTACCTTACAAAGAAAAAATTCTAAAAACGCGAATACAATATCATCGGAATTACAAACCCCAACAACAAACAATCAAGATTTATTAGATTTATTAGGTGGTTTAGATTTAACAACATCAAACTCTCAACAGCCACAACAAATAACATCAACAAATATAGAAAACCATATATTAAATAATATAAACACAATTCCAACAACAAATGGTGATGGAGATTTAGTTGCGAATTTAGCACTTAATCCAGCATTAACCAGTTTAAATAATATGAATATTTTAGAATCTAGTATGTTATCAAATAATTTAATTCAAAATCAAATTCAGGTAAGTTGTTAAATAAAAATATAATTTATTACTTTATTTAAAAATGTTATTTATTTCTTTCTTGTAGTCCGAAGGCCCTAAAATGACAGCGTTAGATAAAAATGGATTATTAGTACAATTATGTCCCTCGAAGGGCAGCGATTGTCTACAAGTTTTTATGACAGCTACTAATAATTCTGCAACAAACGTAGAACAATTTTTGTTTCAAGTAAATAAAACATTTTAAAACCTCTTACGATGGTTTTTTGAGAATTAGAAAACAATGATTGATACAAATATGTAAATATCAATTTTTTTTTAATTTTTTGTTTTAGGCTGCAGTTCCTAAGAGTTTTACATTACAAATGTTATCACCCTCAGGCTCATTACTAACACCTGGTGGTATTATTACACAAGAAATGCGAATTGTCAGTACGTCCAAGGTAATTTTAATTAAAAACTTTTTGTATATTTTTTTTTAAACTTACAAGCAATTTATGTATTATAAATTAATTATTTATTTTTTTTTGTAATTTTTTTTTAGACTGTTTTACGAATGAGACTACGCATATCATATGTAATTGATGGCCAACCAATTCTCGAACAAACGGAAGTTAGTGGTTTTCCTGAAAACTCTTTCGAATAAATCTGTCCGTTCATTAAAATTAATATAATTATATAGTTTTTTTTTTGTCATTTATATTTTCATTATTTATAAATATTATATGTATATACGATATGTAAATGCATATATTTTTAATACATGTATTCTTCTCATTTATTATAATATATTTCAATATTAAAACTATATAAAGTCAAATTATTAATTTTATTTCATTGAGTTTTTTTTTTTTTTTATAAAAATGTTAATTTTCGCAACATTTTATTGGATATATTATAAAAAATTAATAAAGACAAAACAATATAATTATAAAAATTTGAATTAAAATAAAAGTAATTTAAAAAAGAAAATATTAGAATTTTTATACTAAAATAAATTGTTATAAAAAAAAAAGTATATTAATTAAATTTAAATTAAATTTAAATATAAAAATTTTCAAAGAAGCTGAATCACAATAAATAAATATAAAAATAAACAACACAAGCAAGAAATAAGAAAAAAGTATTTTGTTAGATAAATATATTAATTTTCAGTTTTTTTTTTATTATTATTACAAAATACATATGTATTTATATATAAAGAAAACGTCGCTGATACTTTAACATGAAATTCATGAATATTAATTAAAATTAAAATCAAATAGCTTAAAATATACAATATGAAAAATAACAGAAAGGTGATTCAAAAAAAAAAAAAAAAAACTAACATTAGCTATAGATATAAAAATAATATGAAATAAAATTTTATATAATAAAATCATATTACATATTTTAATTTTATTATTAATGTAGGGTGGGAAAAACTAAATGTTCAATCATAGCTAGTAACATTATTACCCAAAAAAAAAAAAAAATTATAAATGAAAAAATGCTTTTTATTTATTGAATCTTTTCAATACCTCAAAATTTTATAAAAAATTTAAATAAATAATTAATTCTTTTTAACATTTAATATTTTTTTTTAAATTAATTTATAAAAATTTAAAAACTTCTATAATATGTGTTATGATTTTATTATTTATAATATTATTTCATATTTTAGAATGTGAAATAAAACAAACAAAACAAAATAAATAATTTTTAATAAAAGAAAATTGATTTAAACACTAAAAAAAAATAGATAAAATTTTTAAATGAGAATAAAATCAAATAAAAATTTAATAAGAAAAAAGAAGATTTAAGAAAAATCGAAAATTTTAATTAAAACAGGCAGCCACTCATAAAAATATATTGAAAAATAACAATTAAAATCTACAAAAAAAAGTAAAAATTAAATAACAAAATACAAAAATGAAAGGAAATTAAGGATATTGTAATATTTATTGTTATACTAAATTACATTGAATTAAATTCGAAAATTAAGAACAAAAGCAAAATAGAAAAAAAATAGTTAAACTCATTTTGTAATTTCAGTTTCATATTATTTGATGTAAAATTAAAATCACTGTGAAAATATTTTCTCTACTATGGAAATTATAATTTGAAAAGATTTACTAAATTTTTAAAATAAAATTTGGTTCTACTCGTATTCGAGTAGTGGCTTCTTTAAGCATTTTTAAAATTAATCTTATTATTATATTAATCCACTTTTTTTAAATCAATTTTAAATTAAAATATATTCTTTTGCAATTTCTTTCAGATACTATTGATATAAGCAAGCCAAATAAATAAAATTCCCGCCGAAATGTTTTATATATAATTATAAACATAATTATGTAAATTTCTTTATTTCCGGTTTCAAAAAAAAAAATAATAACACCAAAATAATTTAAATAAATATTTTTAAGTTTGTAAATGCAGTATATATTAGGAAAAAAAAATACCCAAAATTTTATATATTCATGATTTTTACAGTATTATAAATAAGTATTTTGACAATTTGATGAAAGTTAAAATAAAAGCTGTATAAATGCATAATAAATATTTTTCAGTCATTTAAAAAAAAGTTTCCAGTTGATATTGGTATTGAGTTATTAATTTTTATTAATTATTCCTACAAAATTAATTATTGATTAACGTCCCGTATTGCTCATTAAATTACGTCAACTACCTATTATATTTTATTTTTAGAGAATTTTCAAGAAAAAATAAAACACATTTAGGAATCACTTGAACAAATATGGAAAGCGTATTTTGAAATATTAAGATTTTAGTATGATAAATTTTTATTGCTTAACATAAGCCTAAATCCACTTATAAAATAAATTATTTTTCTACAAAATATTGCGAATTATTTGTAATTTATTCAAATTATATTTTTCGACAAAAAATGAGGAATATTTTCACTTTTTTATAATTTTAATTTAATAAAATTTTTTAATTAAATTTGAAAAAATAATAATTATGAAACTATTTAATATTTATTTCATTTTTCCTCTTGAATTGTTTTAATGTAATTAGGCTATCAAAATTTTAAAAAGTTATCGAAAAATTTATTATAATCCATAAAATATTTAAAAAAAAAAAATTGGTATAATACCAATTAATATGTTAAATAATTTCATTATAATTTTAATTTTCCAGTTAATTAATGTATATGTGAATTTTAAAAATTAAAAAATTATTCTAAGAATATCATAATTAAATAAAAAACAAAATATATTATATTAACTATAGCAAACAATTGTAATTATATGCATGCATATATTATTTATTTATGTATTGTACAAAATATGAGTTATTTGTATTTTACATACATAAATTATTTAATAATTATATTAAATATGCAGTATATTTATATATATATATAAATATTATTATATAATTTAATATATTATGTTGTTAATTTTGAAAAAACAAGATGAGTTTATTTAAAATTTCTTTTTATACATTCAGGTTATTGAAATTTAAATTAAACAAAATCAAAGACAACTTTTATTTGAGCTTAAAAAAAGTTTAAAATAATTATAAGGGAATAAATTTTCAAAAAAATGATTTTAAGAAAACCATGCATATATATTACAACTAATTTTTTTTTTTTGGTTTTTAATTTCAGTTTTTCATAAAAAAAAAAACGTAACTAAAATTGTGTACTTAACAAAATAAAATTAAATTATGATTGAAGACGGTAAGAAATATTAAATATGTATAGAAATCAGATGATAATGGAAAAAAAATATATATATATATATAAATATTTAAAAAAAAAAGAAATATATTTAATAAAATACTATTATGCATTTTTATTTTTTTAAAATGTTAAGATTTAATTTGGAATGAGCAACTATTTATCAGTCTATTCTATAACATTTCTGGTATCATGTGTATCTCGCCGGTAGATAACTGCTTCTATTTATCTTTAATATGTTATGCTATGGATACTATAGTACTTTTGGACATAACAAGTGTTTCATCTTTCCATATTAAAGCTTTGAATTAGATTATTTTGTAGCTTCTTTTGTCTTCAATGTCTTCGAGTGAGTTACTGTACAAATTAAAATCGATGTTTTTTAATTAATTTAAAAATTTCATTTTCTCCATATAAGAAAATTCAAATTGATTAAATTATTATATTGTGTATAACCTGTGTTGAATACAGAAGAATACCCATAAATTTTAAAACTATGTAGTTACCTACTTGACTAAAATCAATAAAATAAAAATCATTATAATTTTATACTATCTATAACAATTAACTTTATTAACAATTCTTCAAAAAAATAGCTCTGATTTTTAACAATATATTTGTATGTATGTATGTATATACAATCAATAATTATTTCCTAACTAACTTTTCCAAATAAATTTTTTAGTGATTAAATAACAAAAACGGTATTGTATTGCAATCATTTGTCCTATTTTTGTATTTTACAAAACTATTATTGTCAAAATTTTACCACAGGAAAATGTATCATCACAATCTTTATCTTATCCATTTAATAGATTAGAAATGTTAAAATAATTAGTAGTTATTTGGTTTTCTTATCTCTAATATTGTCATTTTTATTAGCGCTTGACGGGTAAATAGCAAATAATGATAATTGTATTCCACTGAGAAATAGGAGGAATGCATTTTGGAACTAAAAAAAAAAGTAAATAAGAGAAAAAGTTTGATTGTTTAAAAATATTGAAAATCATACCACCATAAGATCATTTAAAATGGAAAAACCGTATAACATCCAAGAAGCTGATACAAGTGTTCCGGAGAATATCATTGCAAATGGTAATCCTTCTGTACTTCTTTTTTTCATTATATCACCTAAACTTAATAGTGGTGATCCTACTAAAAATACTAAAACAATAGTAATTAACATTCCAAGACGAAATTCAACTAAATTTGGATTTTCCCAATCTGCATAAGCAAAACAACCAGCTGTAAATAATCCACTTAAGCCTATTTGACCCCAAAGTTTCAATTTATTTTCATTTGGAGTAAAATAATAAAAAACCATCATAAATACAATATTTAAAGCAAAACCCAAAAAATTAACTTTTATCATAGCATCATCACGTATAATAACCCCAAATTTTAAACTAATTGCACACCTAAAAATTATTTAAAATAAATCAAATTTCGATATACATAGCTAATTTTAAAATTTATGTAAAACTTACAAAACAATACCACCCAAAAAAGGCCATACGGGAAAACCAATTGTTGAATTTTTTTTACGAATATCATTTAAGAAAAAGAATCCAGATAAAAATTGAAGTGAAGTTAAAGTTCCAGCAATTTTTGCTAGAATATTTGAATAAGGTACCAATGATAATCCTATTGACTTGATCATTCTTCTCTATATAATAAAAACTTAAATAAAAACAAAATGAATTAAAAACTCAATTGAAAATAATTTCCAAGGTCACAAAATAATCGATTGTCTACTGTAAAAAAAAAAAATAAAATTAATTCGCTTACTACAATAAAATTCTTTATATCTCACCAGGTAAGTAACGTCTATTAGCTTTTAAAAATTTGCACATACTAAACTTGAATTCGTTACCTTTTGCATTACACTACGGTAACAAGTTTTCACACTACGTTAATTATAGTACATAATATTATTTAATTAAAAATAATTAAACTTTGGTTAAATGGGTTGAAGAGTAGAATAAAGTTTTCAATAAACTTGTATTAGTTTATGTCAACTTTGATAATAAAACTGTGGACATAGTTTTAATGTAAATTTTGATAAGATAAATTACTTAAATATTTATGTGTCAATTGTCAATTCGCTTTAACAAATTGAGAGAGTTTGGTATAATAATTAAGGGATGTGACCTATCTTTATATTCTGGAAAATTTTAATTTTTTAAATTCTCACTGAAAAATATATAATATTATGTATAATGAATAACAAATAATAATATATGTATATAACATATATATAACATACAGAATATATGTGTATATATGTATTTTATATGTTCTAACAATTCATGGTTAGCAAAAATTGACCCCAACTACATTACCACGAACTAACGCGTAAATGATCTGTTCAATTACGTTATTTGTTTCTAGTAGATGGATATAGCATTTTTGACTCAAAACAAATCGATTGTGTATTTTCGGAGTTATTTTGATATTGGTTTATAATACTTAACGTCTTTTCCTTTGTAATTGGCATTTGAATAATAAAAGAAAAAGCTAGCTAAAAAAAAAAAAGGTTATGCCAAAAAAATTAAAATTATGTTTTACTTACATATATACAGAACAAGGCTGTTCCATTCACAAGTTGCATAATAAAGTTCATGAGTAGTTTGAACAAGTAAAAGATGCTAATTTTCAAAACTGGTAAAACAATTACTATTAAGTTACGCGATATCACCCCTGCATTTTCGACGTCAATATGTTTAATTTCAGAACACATTCTGATCTATTTAATACTTTTCTGTTCATCCCTTAATTTGGTTTTAAACGTCATTAATAGTTAATAATTTAACAAATTAGTAAGAGCTGTAGTAAATTTTATTACATCCATATTTGTTTAATGTGTGCTTTATAAAATAAATATATATATACATAGATCTACTAATATCGTAGATATAATTTGTACAAAATGCCTAAGATAATACAAAATCTAAATATTGATATTACATGTCGATCATGTTTGGCTGAGTGCGATACTTTAACATCCTTATATTCTGTTGCTGAAACATTCCATTCACCGCTTTCATTGGGTGATATTCTGTTAAAACTTTTTCAAGTTAAATGGAACGAATCTGTGGAATTACCAACAAAAATTTGTGACTCCTGCCAACAAGAACTAATTACAGGTACGTACTTGACTTTTTTTTAATTCTCCACATTTATAACTAGTCATGACAGCATAATGCTAGATCAAACATATAATATGAATTTATATCCATCCAATTGAATAATAATAATTGACAAATATACATACATGATTTAAATGCGGTGCAAGAAAATATCTTAAAACACTGCTGTATGAGAATATGTCTCAAGTGACCATTTTTAAAAAACTTTATACTTCGTTAAATACCATTTCTGTGGTACAACTTAGTTGCATTAGAAAAATTAAATTAAAATTTGCTCGCTGCTGAGCATTAAATTTAGTAAATAATTTTAATTTTAATTTCAGCCTACAATTTTAAAATTAAAACTGAAGAAAGTGAAAATGCTCTAGTTGATTATTTACGTCGAAATGAACTATTTAACTCTGCTGATGCTATTGAAAAATCAGATTATAATTTAATGAAAATTAAAGACGAAAAACATGAAGACACTAACTTTGATGATATTTTTAGCTCAGAACCTATAAATGTCGATTCAAATTTATGTATTAGTAAAAATTTTTATGATGAAAAAGGAGGGCAAAACAAAAATTCTGTAAGGGAAGAAGAATTTGAACAGCAAAATGATGAATATTTTTTAATCAAAAAAGTTACTGAGAATTTAATCTGCAACCAATGTAATATAGAATTTGCTGTTAAATTAGAATTTGATGAGCATATTAAAACTCATGAGAATGAAAAGGAGTCTGCCAGGTTTTATTGCGAAGTTTGCAATAAAAATTTTGTATCGAACAAAAATTTAGAACGGCATTCAAAAAAGCATTTGAAAAAGAAAAGTGATGTCAAAGTTCTAGAAGTTCCGGAGTTTGTACCATCAAAATTAAAAATGGCAATTGATAGACATTATGGTTGTACGAGTTGTTCAGCTAAGTTTTCTAGTCCTGTACAATTAAAATGTCACATGAAAGCTCATACGGGGAAGAGCTTCTACTGCGAATTGTGTGATAGATTTTTTGTAAACAATCGAAATTTGCAGAGGCACTTAAAATTGCATTCTGAGGAAAAGGAAGAGTTTAAATGTTCAAATTGCGAAAAAAATTTTGAAACTAAATTAAAATTGAAATTACACGAAAGAACTCATAATACTTTTGGTGTTGACATTGATGGTATAGATTTGGACAAAAATAATTGTATGCCTCACGAAACAAAATACTTAGAATGTAAAATATGTGATTTAAAATTTGACAAAATATTTTTATTAAGGCGACATTTAATTGGCCACAGCGAAATAGAAACTATAGATCCCAACTTTGTAGAAAAAAGTTATTATTTGAAAAGCCTTATTCCTGATAGTAGAGAAGATATTCAAAGAATAATAAATTTTATAAGTGAAGAAGTGCGAAACGGACATTTTCATAAATTTTATTCTGGGACAAATTTGATAGGTAATGAGTTAAATTTCAGCGATTCAGAAACTGATGTAGACGAAACTAATAGCGAGACAGTAACTTTATCTCGTTTATACACATGCGAAAATTGTTTTGAGATATTTGATCGTCGTTATAAAATATTAAGACACCAACGGTATGTTCATTCGTTAGAGGAACATAAATACGAATGTGATTTATGTCATATGCGATATGTTTCTGAAGATTTGCTCGAATATCATAAAAAGAGCCAATGTTATAACGATGAAAAATCGTATACATGTGATGTTTGCCAGATGAAATTTATGTGGAAAGCTAATATAGAAGAACATATTAGAATTCATCATAGTAGAACTAGAGCACCACAAAAGCTTATTCGAAAATATTCATCTAAGTGTAAGCTAGATTGTGAAATATGTTACAAAAAATTTTCAAGACCAGAGCATTTAGAACGTCATTTACGAACACATAATCCAGCAGAAAAAAAGTTTGAATGCCCAAAATGTAAAAAAAAATTTAGTAGAAAAGATAATTTACGTTGTCATATGAAAGTGCATGATGAAAAACGTACAGATATAGGAGATGAAGGTAAACATTTCCTTTGCGTATTTTGTGGTCGAAAATTTCGTAATTCGTCTAATCTTGTTGTTCACACAAGACGCCATACAGGAGAGAAGCCATTTAAATGTGATTTTTGTGATAAGGGATTTCCAAGATCTTCAGATTTACGAACACACCGACGTACACATACAGGAGAAAAACCTCATCTATGTAACACTTGTGGCAAAGGATTTTCAAGATCAAATAAATTGACAAGACATATGCGTATTCATACTGGGGATCGACCTTATAAATGTACTTACTGTGATCGGGCTTTCACTCAATCGAATGATTTAACAATTCACATACGCCGACATACCGGTGAGAAACCATATACATGTGGTATTTGTGGCGAACGTTTCATTCAAGGGACAGCGCTTCAAACACACCGTAAAACTCGTGGACATTATGAAGATGTCGCGGGTGTTGATGTTCCATTTGCTCATTTAAGTCAAAATAATCCGAACCCTTTAAACAATGCTGGTCGTGTTGATCAAATTGGACTGCCTAAACCGAATTCGTTAAAAAATAATGAAGATACAAAACCCATGAAAAATGAATTGCCGGACGATGAAAATGTCACTATGGAATCACATCTAGGAAAAGTAAAGAATTCAATTAATAAAGTTAATAGCCTGCCTCAACATATTGTAGATCGTAACCCTGACTCTGATGTAGGAATTGGAAATTCCTCATTCAATTATAAAGACATCTCAAGTTTTGTAACAGGTGCTCAGGCGCATCATCCTTATATACAATGTAATCCGTTAACATTGCCTTTATTGCAAAGTACTTCTGTTATAAGCAATACTCCCCATAATGGAGGTTCTTTATGTGCGACGAATTACACAATATTAGAATCTGAAACAAGTTCTTATAACAATGATTCTAACTGAATAAAATATATTACATAAAGTACAAATTATATGTATGTAAAAATCATAACACTGGCAGAAATTATTCTGGAAACTAATTTAAAAAGCTATTAGGATGGTTCTTTAATTTGTTTCGACTGAAATTTCCATTATTTCTAACTAGAAAATAACTTGAGTCAACAAAATAATATCAATGAAATTTTTCCGTAAATTAAGTAATTTATAATTTTCATAAAAAAACGTACAACTTATTTTGTGTTCTAATTTTTTATACAAGCAAAAATTGTACATTGTGTAGGTCTTAGAAGCCAATATAGATATTTATACAATATATATTGATCCCTAAATTTACAGTAGGTATATATTATTGTAAAAATTAGATAAAATATAAGAAAATCATGTATTATTTTGTTGTTCTAAAGCAATGAATAATGTAAAATAAAACTTAAATAAAAGCAATAGTTATTAATTTTACATTGGTATTCATACCACGCAACTCATAATATGATTAAAATTAAGAATATATTGAAGGAATCAACGTATGACCAATACTTAAATGTACATACATATGATTTAAATGGAAATATCAAATGGATACTGCCGCATAAATTGAGTACCACTGTTAAACAGTTTTATAAAAGTTACTTTTACATTAGAATATTAAATTTAAAATTGGACGACTCTGAGCATGAAATTTAGTAAATAATGTTAATTTCAATTGCAGTCTACAATTTTTAAATTAAATCTGAAGAAAATGAAAATACTCTTCTTCATTATTTATGTCAAAATAAGCCATTTAGTTCTGCTGGTGCTGTTGAAATATTGAATTATAATTTAATGAAAGTTAAAGACGAAAAAAATGAAGATTACTTAAAGAAGAAAAAATTAAAAATTGCTAACTTTGATGAAATTTTTAAGTCAGAACTTACCTTAATGGAAGGTTCACATTCATATTCTGATATAAAATTTTATGATGAACATCGGAGAAAGAGAAAAATTAAAGAATTTAAAAAAAGGAAGAAGAATTTGAATTGCAAGATGATGAAAATTTTTTAGTAATCAAAAAAGTTACTGAGAATTTAAACTACGCAACGCAATTTAGAATTTGAGGCTAATTTAGAATCTGATGAGCAAATTAAATTCGTGAGATTAAGATGGAGTCTGCCAAGTTTTACTTCGAATTACTCCTGTAATAAAAATCAAACTTTAAATTTTAAAAACTTAAAAAAACAAGTTCTTATAACAATGAGTTTGACTGAATGTACACGTTGAATACGGATATATTAATACTAGTCCCTGGAACACTTGTGTTTTCTTTGCGTATTTTATTTGTTTCGTAATTTTTTGCGGCGCAAGTTAAAGCAGCTACTTAAAGTAACATTGTTAAATTTTATACTTAAATGTGTTTCTAAATTTACAGAAGAACATGGCAAACTTCAAAAAATTTTTTTTTTCAATGGTTGATAATTTTTCCGAAATATAATTCTTTTTTTTTTATTGGTATGAAAAGAAAACTTCCTTTTATTCGGAATGAAATACTTTTTTTTTATTTTTTGCTAATATATTTCGTGCGTTACATACGCACTTTATCAAAGCTGATTTTCTTAAAAACTAATTTCTTATACCAAAATGATGATTGAAAACACTTGAAAAATACAAACAAAAAAACAATTTTTTTGTTGTTAAAGAACAACAAAAAAATTGAAAACATTTACATTTTGTTATTAAAATTAGTGAAAAACAACTTACGTTCACACTATTGGGTTAAATTAAGTTTATTAATTAAATAAGTCGAATTTTATAGTAGGCGTACTATTAATAGGAATACTAAATTCTGATTTATGTGTTAATTTATGGCATTTATGTTGCAACAGAAACTTACAACCCAAATTATATTATCTTTTAAAATTTTAGGAGAACCAGATAAATGATTAAAAAGTTGGATATAAAAATATAAAGTAGGGCCCATAAATTGCGAGGATTGGTGTTACTGGGTAAAAGTACAAATAATTTATAAAAATAATAATGCCAGCATATATGAAATTTTTCCAAAAATTTAAATAATTTGTAATTTCATAAAAACATAACATACAACATATTTTGTTTTAATTATGTTATATGCATGTGTTACGATTGTACTTCCATATGTACATAATATGTAGTTTAAACCAATGAGACCAATATACAAACATATGGACATATGTAACTTCACATAAGATTAAAATGTATGTCTACATATTTATAGTGGTAACATTATTCTATAAAACACAAATGCAGACGAAATGGAAGGAAATTATGTATCGTTTTTGTGTTCTAAAACAATGAATAATTTAAAATAAATTAAAAAAAAAAATGGCAATCATTTTTAATTTTATATTGTTACTTACGCAACACGTAATATGAATACAATTATGTATGTACATATATATATTATCTTATGAAGGAACTATGGCAAATACTAAAATTAGTTGCATTAGAATATTAAATTTTAAATTGGTCAATTCTGAGCATGAAATTTAGTAAATAATTTTAATTTTAATTTCAGCCTACAATTTTAAAATTAAAACTGAAGAAAGTGAAAAAGATCTATTTGATTATTTACGTCGATTAAACTCTGCAGAAGCTGTTGAAAATTCAGATTGTAATTCAATTGAAATTAATGATTTCCAACATGAAAACACTGATTTTGACGAAATTTTTAACTCAGAACCTGTCAATATTGATTCAGATTCAGATATTGATAAAAATTTTAATAGTGAACAAGATGGACAGAAAAAAGATTCTATAAGGGAAGATGAATTTGTGGAGGAGAATTATGACAATGTTTTGTTAGTCAGCAAAAAAGTTTCTGAAAGTTTAATCTGCAATCAATGCAATTTAGAATTTACAACTAAATCAGGATTTGATGAACATGTTAAAATCCATGAAAAGAAGTCTTCCAAGTTTATTTGTAAAGTTTGCAATAAAAATTTTGCCTTAATTAAAAATTTTGAACAACATTTAAAAAATCATTTAGAAAACAAATTTAATGTTAAACCTATAGCAGTTCCGGAACCTTTGCCATCAAAACCACAAACATTATTTGAAGGACAAGGGAACGACAAAAAGAAAATTGATGTCGAAACTATAGAAGTTCCAAAATCTTTACCATCAAAACGAAATACAACTTTTGAAAGACTTTTTGGTTGCACAAAGTGTTCAGCTAAGCTTTCTACTCCCACTCAGTTGCAATTTCATATGAAAGCTCATTCAGGAAAAAGGTTCTATTGCGAATTGTGTGAAAGATTTTTTGTAAACAATCGGAATTTACAGAGACATCTTTACAATTTGCATTCTATTGGAAAAGAAGAATTCGAATCTCCTAGTAGCAAAAAATTGTCTAAACCCGAAATAAAATTGAAATTGCAAGAAAAAAGCCAAAATAATTTAATTGTTGACATTGATGGTATAGACAAAATTAGTTGTAGACCACAGGAAGTTATATATGTAGATGAACATGGAGAATCTACAAGAGAAAATGAAATTGAACAGGAAAATAATGACAATTTTCCATTAGTCAGCAAAAAAGTTACTGAAAATTTAACTTGCAATCAATGCAATTTGGAATCTGCAAATAAACTGGAATTTGATAAGCATATTAAAACTCATGAGATTGAGAAGAAATCTGCCAAGTTTTATTGCGAAGTTTGCAATAAATGTTTTGTATCGAACAAAAATTTAGAGCGACATTCGAAAACGCATTTGGAAAAGAAAGGTGATGTCGACACTGTAGGCGTTACGGAATCCTTAACACTTAAACCAAAAAACTCATTTAAAAGACAACAGAAAAACAAAAAAAAAAGTGAAGTCAAAGTTATAGCAGATTCGGGATTTTTATCAATAAAGCCAAAAACGACATTTGAAAGGCAAGGGAACATTGATGGTATAAACTTAGACAAAAATAGTTGTGGGCCAAATGAAACAATATATTTAGATGAACAAGATGGACAAAGAAAAGAATCTATAAGAGAAGATGAAGTTAAAGAGAAACATAATGAAAATTTTTCGTTAGTCAGCAAAAAAGTTACTGAAAATTTAACCGGCACTCAATGCAATTTGGAACTTCCAATTAAATTAGAACTTGATGAACATGTTGAAACCGATGGGAAAGAGTCCTCCAAGTCTTATTGTGAAGTTTTAAATAAAAATTTAGAGAAAATAGATGTCGAACCACTAAATCAACAAGTCGAATTTAAAAGACAAGAAAATTGCAAAGAGAAAAGTGGTGTTAAAGTTATAGAAGTTCCGGAATCCCCACCATCAAAACCAAAAACGACACATGAAAGACAAGAAAAAGACAAAACGAAAAGTGATGTCAAAGTTATTACTAGGCCATTTCTGTATGATTGCGCAAAATGTTCAGCTAAGCTTCCTAATCTCGATCAGTTGAAATTTCATATGAAAGCTCATTCGGGAAAGAATTTCTACTGCGAATCGTGTGATAGATTTTTTGTAAACAATCGAAATTTGCAGAGGCATTTATTATTGCATTCTGAAGAAAAAGTAAAGTGTGGAACAACATCCAAAAATTTAGACCAACATCGAAAAAGTCATTTGGAAAAGAAAACTGTTGTTCAAGCCATAACCGTTGCAGAACCTTTAACATTAAAACCAAATTCGAACTATAAAACCCATTATAGTTGCATAAATTGTTCTGCTAAGTTCTCTACTCTTATTCAGTTGAAATGCCATAAAAGAGCTCATTCAGAAAAAAAGTTTTACTGTGAGTGGTGTGATCAATATTTTGTGAGTAATCGAAATTTACAGAATCATTTCCGATCGCATTCTGAGTTTAAATGTTCTAATTGCGAAAAAAAGTTTCAAACTAAAAAAAAGCTGAAATTGCACGAAAGAACTCATAATACTTTTGGTGTTGACATTGATGGTATAGATTTGGACAAAAATAATTGTATGCCTCACGAAACAAAATACTTAGAATGTAAAATATGTGATTTAAAATTTGACAAAATATTTTTATTAAGGCGACATTTAATTGGCCACGGCGAAATAGAAACTATAGATCCCGACTTTGTAGAAAAAAGCAATCATTTGAAAAGCCTTATTCCTGATAATAGAGAAGATATTCAAAAAATAATAAATTTTATAAGTGAAGAAGTGCGAAACGGACATTTTCATAAATTTTATTCTGGGACAAACTTGATAGGTAATGAGTTAAATATCAGTGATTCAGAAACTGATGTAGACGAAACTAATAGCGAGACTGTAACTTTATCTCGTTTATACACATGCCAAAATTGTTCTGAAACATTTGATCGTCGTTATAAAATATTGAGACATCAACGGTATGTTCATCCATTAAAGGAACATAAATACGAATGTGATTTATGTCATATGCGATATGTTTCTGAAGATTTGCTCGAATATCATAAAAAGAGCCAATGTTATAACGATGAAAAATCGTATACATGTGATGTTTGCCAGATGAAATTTATGTGGAAAGCTAATATAGAAAAACATATTGCAATTCATCACAGTAGTACTGCAGCATCAACTAAGCCAGATTTATTAAAACGACATTTAAAGACAAATATTCAACGAGAAAAAAAGTTTGAGTGTCCGAAATGTAAAAAAAAATTTACTACAAAAACAGGTTTGCGTTTACATATGGACCTTCACGATGAAAAACGTTCGGAAGAAGGTAAACATTTTCTTTGCGTATTTTGTGGTCGTAAATTTCGTAATTCGTCTGCTCTTGTTGTTCATACGAGGCGTCATACTGGAGAAAAACCATTTAAATGTGATTTATGTGATAAAGCATTTCCAAGATCTTCATGTTTGCACGAACACAGACGAACTCATACGGGAGAGAAGCCTCATAAATGTGGCATTTGTGGTAAAGGATGTTCGAGAGCATATAAATTGAGAAGACATATGCGTACTCATACTGGGGAGCGCCCTTTTAAATGTACTTACTGTGATCGAGCTTTCGCTCAAGACAATGATTTAAAAATTCACATTCGTAGACATACCGGAGAGAAACCATATGCATGTGGAATTTGTGGTGATCGTTTTATTCAAAAAACACTTCTTGAAACACACCGTAAAACACGTGGACATTATGAAAATGTACCGGGTGTTGATGCCCCATTTGCTCATTTAAGTAAAAATAATCCGAACCCCTTTAACAATATTAATCGTGTTGATCATATTGGGATACCTGCCTAAACCAAATTTATAAAAATTATGAAAATATAAAATCAATGAAAAACAAATTTCCGGACGACGGATCTGCAACAATTTAGGATGAATCACTAAAGTAAATTCATAAAATTTCAAATCTGTAGTTAAGATTTTTAGATTCGTTTATATGAATAAATAATTTCAAAAAACATATATACACATGCACATATTTATATAAAAATTTCAAACTTTAAAATTTAAAAACTTAATACAAAAAAATAATAAAACATATCTGGGTTGGATAAGGAATAATGACAGCTCTACAACGAACTACGAAATTTAATGCATGTTCTAATAATAATCAATTTGAACCAAGACGCCATATATTTAAAGGACATCCAATCCAGTGTAAAATTTTTCCAACGAATTAGAAATACTAAAAGAAACATCTTGAAAAAACAAGAAGCCAAATTTTTTCTAGTTGTCTATTTGCTTCGAGCATTGTCAAAGTCGTAAAAAAGACCGTATATATTTTATTCAATGAATTAGAAATACTAAAGGAAGGAGCATCTTTATTTCTATCTGGCTTACATTCCTTAAAAAGTAAATCTAATCTTCTTTGCTTTTTCTTTGCTTCTTCGAAAAAAAAAAACAACATTTTGCATTTAATGCTAATTTCACTTTGAAATTTTTAGAGCAAAGAAAGAGACTTACCTGAAGTTTTCGACTTCAATATGCTTTTTTTTCAAGATGCGATTTTTTAGGGAGTGTAAGCGATCTAGAAACAAAGATTCTCCTTCCTTTAGTATTTCTAGTTCGTTGTGTAGTTAATTATAAAAATTTATTATAAAAACGTGTCTAAGAAAAAAAATTAAAGCTGGAAAAGAAAACTTACATAGTGTATAAAATCCAGGTACGTATATGTATATAGAAGGTGTTTCGCATAAGGTGGCAAATAATTTCAGGGATCTGAAATCATACCTGAAGTTATTTGTCACCTTATGGCAAACACCCTGTATATGTATGTATTTGGTTCATGCAAAATTTTCGCATCTCAACGTAAAAGCATGGGTACTTATAGATATATAGAATAGACGTGTGAAGCCAAATTGTAAAGTTTAGGATTTAAATTTTTAGATTTTTTACCAGAATATTTTATCGCCAAAAGAAGTTTTCCTCACTCAAAAATATTACATTTTTATGACGAGTCAGAAAATTAGCAGTATTTTCTATTTTTATAAAAAGTAATTTTCTAAATTAATTAAAAGTTAGTAGATTTTCTTCGATGGAATATCAAAACTATATATGTAAATTCAAATAAAAATTTCAAGAAGAAAAATCAGATTATAATTTAATGAAAATTAAAGACAAAAAACATGAAGACACTAACTTTGATGATATTTTTAGCTCAGAACCTATCAATGTCGATTCAAATTTATGTATTAGTAAAAATTTTTATGATGAAAAAGGAGGGCAAAACAAAAATTCTGTAAGGGAAGAAGAATTTGAATTGCAAGATGATGAAAATTTTTTAGTAATCAAAAAAGTTACTGAGAATTTAAACTACGCAACGCAATTTAGAATTTGAGGCTAATTTAGAATCTGATGAGCAAATTAAATTCGTGAGATTAAGATGGAGTCTGCCAAGTTTTACTTCGAATTACTCCTGTAATAAAAATCAAACTTTAAATTTTAAAAACTTAAAAAAACAAGTTCTTATAACAATGAGTTTGACTGAATGTACACGTTGAATACGGATATATTAATACTAGTCCCTGGAACACTTGTGTTTTCTTTGCGTATTTTATTTGTTTCGTAATTTTTTGCGGCGCAAGTTAAAGCAGCTACTTAAAGTAACATTGTTAAATTTTATACTTAAATGTGTTTCTAAATTTTACAGAAGAACATGGCAAACTTCAAAAAATTTTTTTTTTCAATGGTTGATAATTTTTCCGAAATATAATTCTTTTTTTTTTATTGGTATGAAAAGAAAACTTCCTTTTATTCGGAATGAAATACTTTTTTTTTATTTTTTGCTAATATATTTCGTGCGTTACATACGCACTTTATCAAAGCTGATTTTCTTAAAAACTAATTTCTTATACCAAAATGATGATTGAAAACACTTGAAAAATACAAACAAAAAAACAATTTTTTTGTTGTTAAAGAACAACAAAAAAATTGAAAACATTTACATTTTGTTATTAAAATTAGTGAAAAACAACTTACGTTCACACTATTGGGTTAAATTAAGTTTATTAATTAAATAAGTCGAATTTTATAGTAGGCGTACTATTAATAGGAATACTAAATTCTGATTTATGTGTTAATTTATGGCATTTATGTTGCAACAGAAACTTACAACCCAAATTATATTATCTTCACTAGAGGCTGGGAGAGGTTGGGAAAAACATACATTAAGAAATGCACAAAATTTTAGGAGAACCAGATAAATAATTAAAAAGTTGGATATAAAAATATAAAGTAGGGTCCATAAATTGCGAGGATTGGTGTTACTGGGTAAAAGTACAAATAATTTATAAAAATAATAATGCCAGCATATATGAAATTTTTCCAAAAATTTAAATAATTTGTAATTTCATAAAAACATAACATACAACATATTTTGTTTTAATTATGTTATATGCATGTGTTACGATTGTACTTCCATATGTACATAATATGTAGTTTAAACCAATGAGACCAATATACAAACATATGGACATATGTAACTTCACATAATATTAAAATGTATGTCTACATATTTATAGTGGTAACATTATTCTATAAAACACAAATGCAGACGAAATGGAAGGAAATTATGTATCGTTTTTGTGTTCTAAAACAATGAATAATCTAAAATAAATTTAAAAAAAAAATGGCAATCATTTTTAATTTTATATTGTTACTTACGCAACACGTAATATGAATACAATTATGTATGTATATATATATTATCTTATGAAGGAACTATGGCAAATACTAAAATTAGTTGCATTAGAATATTAAATTTTAAATTGGTCAATTCTGAGCATGAAATTTAGTAAATAATTTTAATTTTAATTTCAGCCTACAATTTTAAAATTAAAACTGAAGAAAGTGAAAAAGCTCTATTTGATTATTTACGTCGATTAAACTCTGCAGAAGCTGTTGAAAATTCAGGTTGTAATTCAATTGAAATTAAGGATTTCCAACATGAAAACACTGATTTTGACGAAATTTTTAACTCAGAACCTGTCAATATTGATTCAGATTCAGATGTTGATAAAAATTTTAATAGTGAACAAGATGGACAGAAAAAAGATTCTATAAGGGAAGATGAATTTGTGGAGGAGAATTATGACAATGTTTTGTTAGTCAGCAAAAAAGTTTCTGAAAGTTTAATCTGCAATCAATGCAATTTAGAATTTACAACTAAATCAGGATTTGATGAACATGTTAAAATCCATGAAAAGAAGTCTTCCAAGTTTAATTGTAAAGTTTGCAATAAAAATTTTGCCTTAATTAAAAATTTTGAACAACATTTAAAAAATCATTTAGAAAACAAAGGTAATGTTAAACCTATAGCAGTTCCGGAACCTTTGCCATCAAAACCACAAACATTATTTGAAGGACAAGGGAACGACAAAAAGAAAATTGATGTCGAAACTATAGAAGTTCCAAAATCTTTACCATCAAAACGAAATACAACTTTTGAAAGACTTTTTGGTTGCACAAAGTGTTCAGCTAAGCTTTCTACTCCCACTCAGTTGCAATTTCATATGAAAGCTCATTCAGGAAAAAGGTTCTATTGCGAATTGTGTGAAAGATTTTTTGTAAACAATCGGAATTTACAGAGACATCTTTACAATTTGCATTCTATTGGAAAAGAAGAATTCGAATCTCCTAGTAGCAAAAAATTGTCTAAACCCGAAATAAAATTGAAATTGCAAGAAAAAAGCCAAAATAATTTAATTGTTGACATTGATGGTATAGACAAAATTAGTTGTAGACCACAGGAAGTTATATATGTAGATGAACATGGAGAATCTACAAGAGAAAATGAAATTGAACAGGAAAATAATGACAATTTTCCATTAGTCAGCAAAAAAGTTACTGAAAATTTAACTTGCAATCAATGCAATTTGGAATCTGCAAATAAACTGGAATTTGATAAGCATATTAAAACTCATGAGATTGAGAAGAAATCTGCCAAGCTTTATTGTGAAGTTTGCAATAAATGTTTTGTATCGAACAAAAATTTAGAGCGACATTCGAAAACGCATTTGGAAAAGAAAGGTGATGTCGACACTGTAGGCGTTACGGAATCCTTAACACTTAAACCAAAAAACTCATTTAAAAGACAACAGAAAAACAAAAAAAAAAGTGAAGTCAAAGTTATAGCAGATTCGGGATTTTTATCAATAAAGCCAAAAACGACATTTGAAAGGCAAGGGAACATTGATGGTATAAACTTAGACAAAAATAGTTGTGGGCCAAATGAAACAATATATTTAGATGAACAAGATGGACAAAGAAAAGAATCTATAAGAGGAGATGAAGTTAAAGAGAAACATAATGAAAATTTTTCGTTAGTCAGCAAAAAAGTTACTGAAAATTTAACCGGCACTCAATGCAATTTGGAACTCCCAATTAAATTAGAACTTGATGAACATGTTGAAACCGATGGGAAAGAGTCCTCCAAGTCTTATTGTGAAGTTTTAAATAAAAATTTAGAGAAAATAGATGTCGAACCACTAAATCAACAAGTCGAATTTAAAAGACAAGAAAATTGCAAAGAGAAAAGTGGTGTTAAAGTTATAGAAGTTCCGGAATCCCCACCATCAAAACCAAAAACGACACATGAAAGACAAGAAAAAGACAAAAGGAAAAGTGATGTCAAAGTCATTACTAGGCCATTTCTGTATGATTGCGCAAAATGTTCAGCTAAGCTTCCTAATCTCGATCAGTTGAAATTTCATATGAAAGCTCATTCGGGAAAGAATTTCTACTGCGAATCGTGTGATAGATTTTTTGTAAACAATCGAAATTTGCAGAGGCATTTATTATTGCATTCTGAAGAAAAAGTAAAGTGTGGAACAACATCCAAAAATTTAGAACAACATCGAAAAAGTCATTTGGAAAAGAAAACTGTTGTTCAAGCCATAACCGTTGCAGAACCTTTACCATTAAAACCAAATTCGAACTATAAAACCCATTATAGTTGCATAAATTGTTCTGCTAAGTTCTCTACTCTTATTCAGTTGAAATGCCATAAAAGAGCTCATTCAGAAAAAAAGTTTTACTGTGAGTGGTGTGATCAATATTTTGTGAGTAATCGAAATTTACAGAATCATTTCCGATCGCATTCTGAGTTTAAATGTTCTAATTGCGGAAAAAAGTTTCAAACTAGAAAAAAGCTGAAATTGCACGAAAGAACTCATAATACTTTTGGTGTTGACATTGATGGTATAGATTTGGACAAAAATAATTGTATGCCTCACGAAACAAAATACTTAGAATGTAAAATATGTGATTTAAAATTTGACAAAATATTTTTATTAAGGCGACATTTAATTGGCCACGGCGAAATAGAAACTATAGATCCCGACTTTGTAGAAAAAAGCAATCATTTGAAAAGCCTTATTCCTGATAACAGAGAAGATATTCAAAAAATAATAAATTTTATAAGTGAAGAAGTGCGAAAGGGACATTTTCATAAATTTTATTCTGGGACAAACTTGATAGGTAATGAGTTAAATATCAGTGATTCAGAAACTGATGTAGACGAAACTAATAGCGAGACTGTAACTTTATCTCGTTTATACACATGCCAAAATTGTTCTGAAACATTTGATCGTCGTTATAAAATATTGAGACATCAACGGTATGTTCATCCATTAAAGGAACATAAATACGAATGTGATTTATGTCATATGCGATATGTTTCTGAAGATTTGCTCGAATATCATAAAAAGAGCCAATGTTATAACGATGAAAAATCGTATACATGTGATGTTTGCCAGATGAAATTTATGTGGAAAGCTAATATAGAAAAACATATTACAATTCATCACAGTAGTACTGCAGCATCAACTAAGCCAGATTTATTAAAACGACATTTAAAGACAAATATTCAACGAGAAAAAAAGTTTGAGTGTCCGAAATGTAAAAAAAAATTTACTACAAAAACAGGTTTGCGTTTACATATGGACCTTCACGATGAAAAACGTTTGGAAGAAGGTAAACATTTTCTTTGCGTATTTTGTGGTCGTAAATTTCGTAATTCGTCTACTCTTGTTGTTCATACGAGGCGTCATACTGGAGAAAAACCATTTAAATGTGATTTATGTGATAAAGCATTTCCAAGATCTTCATGTTTGCACGAACACAGACGAACTCATACGGGAGAGAAGCCTCATAAATGTGGCATTTGTGGTAAAGGATGTTCGAGAGCATATCAATTGAGAAGACATATGCGTACTCATACTGGGGAGCGCCCTTTTAAATGTACTTACTGTGATCGAGCTTTCGCTCAATCGAATGATTTAACAATTCACATACGCAGACATACCGGTGAGAAACCATATACATGTGGAATTTGTGGTGATCGTTTTATTCAAAAAACACTTCTTGAAACACACCGTAAAACACGTGGACATTATGAAAATGTACCGGGTGTTGATGCCCCATTTGCTCATTTAAGTAAAAATAATCCGAACCCCTTTAACAATATTAAACGTGTTGATCATATTGGGAAACCTGCCTAAACCAAATTTATAAAAATTATGAAAATATAAAATCAATGAAAAACAAATTTCCGGACGACAGATCTGCAACAATTTAGGATGAATCACTAAAGTAAATTCATAAAATTTCAAATCTGTAGTTAAGATTTTTAGATTCGTTTATATGAATAAATAATTTCAAAAAACATATATACACATGCACATATTTATATAAAAATTTCAAACTTTAAAATTTAAAAACTTAATACAAAAAAATAATAAAACATATCTGGGTTGGATAAGGAATAATGACAGAACTACGAAATTTAATGCATGTTCTAATAATAATCAATTTGAACCAAGACGCCATATATTTAAAGGACATCCAATCCAGTGTAAAATTTTTCCAACGAATTAGAAATACTAAAAGAAACATCTTGAAAAAACAAGAAACCAAATTTTTTCTAGTTGTCTATTTGCTTCGAGCATTGTCAAAGTCGTAAAAAAGACCGTATATATTTTATTCAATGAATTAGAAATACTAAAGGAAGGAGCATCTTTATTTCTATCTGGCTTACATTCCTTAAAAAGTAAATCTAATCTTCTTTGCTTTTTCTTTGCTTCTTCGAAAAAAAAAAAAACAACATTTGGCATTTAATGCTAATTTCACTTTGAAATTTTTAGAGCAAAGAAAGAGACTTACCTGAAGTTTTCGACTTCAATATGCTTTTTTTTCAAGATGCGATTTTTTAGGGAGTGTAAGCGATCTAGAAACAAAGATTCTCCTTCCTTTAGTATTTCTAGTTCGTTGTGTAGTTAATTATAAAAATTTATTATAAAAACGTGTCTAAGAAAAAAAATTAAAGCTGGAAAAGAAAACTTACATAGTGTATAAAATCCAGGTACGTATATGTATATAGAAGGTGTTTCGCATAAGGTGGCAAATAATTTCAGGGATCTGAAATCATACCTGAAGTTATTTGTCAAGTTATGGCAAACACCCTGTATATGTATGTATTTGGTTCATGCAAAATTTTCGCATCTCAACGTAAAAGCATGGGTACTTATAGATATATAGAATAGACGTGTGAAGCCAAATTGTAAAGCAGTTGGATTTAAATTTTTAGATTTTTTACCAGAATATTTTATCGCCAAAAGAAATTTTCCCCACTCAAAAATATTACATTTTTATGACGAGTCAGAAAATTAGCAGTATTTTCTATTTTTATAAAAAGTAATTTTCTAAATTAATTAAAAGTTAGTAGATTTTCTTCGATGGAATATCAAAACTACATAAATTCAAATAAAAATTTCAAGGATATATTAAATTATTCAATAAATATATACCGACACATCGGGTATAATCGGAAAGTGGTTATGTAAAAGTCATGTACGAAAATCCATCAATACGGTAGTACTTTGGTGTCCAAAAATTTCAAAAATACGCATCGTATTCGCATCATTTAATATTAGCTGTGCATCAATTTTTTTTTTGTGATTTTGTATTGATGCAAATTTTTTTAAATGGAAGCTGAGAAGTAATAAATTAATTATTTTAACTCAATAACTAATAAAATTAATTATTTCTTTATGCGGGGTATTAATATCTTTAAATGTTCCATTATATTGAAGTCTTCAAAGCTTAATTAAAATTAAAAACTTTTTTTTAATAGATTTTCAGTTGTTTAAAACTTTTAAAATTATCAAATCTTTTCAAAATATATAGAAACATGTCAAAATATTAAAACATATCAAAACGATATTGCATCACCAAGATAAACGCATCACATCGATATAGCATCAGCAACTTTTTTTGCATCAACGATGCATTAATACACATTTTAGATTACTTTCCGATTACATCCGTCTCTAATGTAGCTCATCCACACTTCAACTTGGACCCTCAACTCAACACATTGAAAACAGATGATTTCCATATATTGAATGGTTAGCGGACTAGTAATTGATCTACCGTTTGATAGTTAAAACTTGGTTGGACAAAATGGTAAGGTCCTTGTGTTGTATGAAACTAAATCAGCTGTAGTCTGAAAAAAATTGAAATAATGTTAAAGTGTGTGTGACTATGTTGATCAACGTATTTTTCAACGCGTTTAATATAATTTCGTATTTCAGTTTTACTTTCGGCCTTGTTTACTGGTGTATATACACTGCATCTCTAATTTAATCTTGATTTTTAGCTAAAACACTGCTACATACAAATCTGTCAAAATGAGATAGCGAATAATAAATTTTAACTGAAAAAACAAAGATGTTTTTTCAGTTAAAATTTATTTAATGAATAATAAAATTAATATTTTAAGTATAAAATATTACTTATCAATTTTATGTAACTTTGCTGATACTCTACATAAATACTAACTTTATAATCGAATGTGCGCACTCGAAGATAAAAATAAAATTTTTTTTTTTAAATTAAAATTTAAGCTCTACAAAAATATTATTTTTTAGAATACTACACAGCAGGTAGATTTAAGAATTAAATGCAATAAAGAAATATTCCGGCTCAGCCCTGTTTTTATTTTATTAAAAGGCCAAAAGTGCAGGGCTGCACTTGTGTTTTGATATTATGACATATATGAAGAACATATGTAACATATTGTGTGTAGAAAAATAGTAACATATTTATCGATAGTTTGAAATTCATAAAATGAATCTTGGAATAAATACTCTATTAGGAGATCTAAAATCTACTTTATTAAATATAACGAGAAGTGCTAGTAAGAAAGCTGGTGGGAGCACACGAAATAGAAAAGGTCATGCTAGACCTAAACATAGAGGGTGGAAAGTTAACGATGGACATTATGTTAGTAAGGGGACACTCTTAGTTACTCAATTATCTACCAGATTTCACCCTGGATTGAATGTTGGATTTGGTCGTAATGGTACTTTATTCGCTATGGAACATGGGAAAGTGTACATAACATGCGAGAAAGTAGACTTAAATTGGGATCATTCGTGGGTTCAACGCAACTATGCTGGCCGAGAAAACCAAATTATTTATAAAAAATATTTTAATGTTGTCCCGGAACCACAACATAACCGTTTTAAATTAGTAGAATAAATGTGCTTTACACAAAAAAGTCATAAAATAGAAGAACTAATCAGATGTGGTTTAAATTTACTTTTTATTAATAATAATTTTTCTGAATGTGTAAACTTATTTTACTCATTTAATGTGTAACTAAGTAAATTGTGTACTTTGCGTACATAGTATCTAACTATATGCACACATAGTTATAAATGCTATGTGTGTATGTATTTATAAATGCGATTTATATTTCAATGGTTAAATAATCATAAAAAAAATGACAATCTTTTGGTAACTTAACTTTTAAAGACTGCAAGAGCTGGTATTTTACTGCTGATATTTTTCTTCTATCGCAATACAATTGGGGCCATTCTGCTTTTGATGTTATTGACTTGCATTTCAAATTATCAGATAATAAAACCCATGTATCATCGAAATCCATTTTAATTGAAACGGTTCCATCTTGCTTGCATAAAATAGACTTAATGTTATTAAATTCGTCAGGATCGTTTGTCAGATTATAGTAACGGTGTTTTTTACTATTAAATGAATAATCTCGAAATTGATTGAAATGAACCCATTTTGCTTCCATGGGTTCCCTTTTACAATCAATTGTAGCTGTAACGTAATCACTAGGTAGGTTAATTTCGAATCTCCTCAATTTGCGATACAGAGATCTATAAACAGATTGACATTCAGTTTCATCTTTGTATAAATGTTTCCGGGGTATATAGAACTTTTGCGTTATTGTTAATTTGTTGGTAATAGCATAATCTAATAATCCATTTGTCATATCAATACTTTTGAAACGATTATCACCAATGCGACAATAAATGATTATTTGCTTAGCAGTTTTACAAAAATTTGTAAAATAATCCATTAAACATGTAATAAAACTTGACGGAGTGGTATCTAGTGCATCTATTTCACAAAACCAGTAATTATAAGTATGAAGGGTTATGACATTTGAAATTGTTAAATTAAAACAACAAAGTCTTGAATTTGTATCTGATTCTTCTCCATCACCATTCCAATTTGGAGAAACTTTTCCATCACAAGTATCAATATCTAAAACTGAAACAATTCGAATATAATAACGGCAGCAAAATACAATAGTGTGTTTGATTTTGAAATTGTTACCTGTTATATATGAACCTGGTCTCTTAGTTAAAATTTTATCTCTTTGTCTTTCCTGTTGGTCTCTTTTCATAGCTTCTTCAACTTCCGGCGTAATTTCACTATCATCGATAGTTTTGAATTTAGCATTTCTTTTTTTATATCCAGTGTAAAAAGTATAATGCTTAGCACAAAATACTTTTTTTAAAATTTTTACTGGTAATGGATTTTTTATGCCTTCAGATATCATTACATTTTTGTACAGTCTCTGCAAATTTCGAAGACCCTCGATTTCTTCCGTTAAATAAAATTTATGAGATTTTTGTTGCGGAAAAGATTTTGGTGGCATTTTTTCTAAAGAATTTAAAAAATCTTCAAGTAATTGTAGTTTTTCAGCGTAATTTTCAAATCTTTTTCTGGCTTTTAACGTTTTTGGAGTATCCAATGGATCTAAAAAGTTTTTGACGTCATTGGCGTTATAAAAATCACTTGAGTTACGATCATGAACCCAATTTAAAACGCAAGAGACGCGTAACGCAAATGTTGAATGAAACAATTTTTGACAAACTTCTAATTTTTTACTATCGATTGTAATATTATATATTAACGGTGTAATATTCTTTGGGCGGCCTTTTTGTTCTAATATTTCCACATTTTGTTTAACGTAAAATTTTCGATCAGTATATGATTTCTCATTCCAAAATTCATGGAAAAGTTCTTCGCGTTGTAACTCTTTTATATTTTTGCAGCTTCTATTTTTAAGTTTCGCACATAATTCTGATGTACAAGGTGGCCCCATTTTTTCTGGAAGTGATATCCCATCAGAATACTCATCGCCTTCATCTTGAATTATTTGCGTTTGTGTTTTATTAATTTCTTCATTATCTGAATCATCAGTATCTTCAACATTACTGAAATTATCGTCTTCACTAGAAGAATTAATGTTTTCTAAATCAGATTGTGGTTCGATTTTGGGCTTTTTTAAAGATACTGGAGTGGATATATCTCTATTATAAGCTGGAGCAGATGTATCTTTTTTTGAAGCTCTTTTGGAACGCTTTTCGGTTTTTATAGTGGGAGCTTCAATCACAACTCCTTCTGAATCATCCACATCTGAACCACTAACAGGAGAATTACTATGAACATCCTCTTTCCACGACTCATCGGAACTCTCTAAAAATTCATTTTCCGAAGCTGAGTCCATTGAAACTCTCCATTTGCGGGTTTCTTTTTTGTTTTTCACTCGTTCTTTTTTTGCGGTCACACGTTTTTTGCGGTTTGGTTTTTCCACAGTTTTTTTCAAACTTGCCTCTTCAATTTTGTCTTCAAAATCAAGCTCCATTTCTGAAATATCTTCGTCAACGAGCTCTGCTTCAACTTCCACGTACTCTATTTTCGGTACAAAGAACTGATTGCTTGCTTCATCTTCACTTGATCTTGGTGATTTATGTGGTCTCTTTTTTGTATTAGAAACATTTTTCTTCAAAGGCTTTATTTTGGGGGTGTTTGTTTCTGTTTTACTAGATTTTTCTTTTCTACTGCATTCATTTTTTTGAAAATCATCAAATAATATTTGCATCACATTTTTTTCAATAAGTGACAAAGTTGAGAGAAACATTTTTTTGCATACAGCATAACATTGACCTGTTATTGTCAGATTTGTTGAAAAGTATGGTTCAATGTCTGGATTTAAAAGTGTAGTATTTTTGATAATATAGTTTAAACGTTCATTTGGATTCATTTCAATCCAGAATTGGTGGTTGATTAAATTTCGTTGTTCCTGCAAGATTTGTCTGCATTGAAGTTCTTTTGTATCACAAGTCCTTTTGGAACAAGGTTTCTTAAGTTTTGAGGAAAACCCGGTTTTTTGTAAAAATTTGTACACATGTTCAAAAGTACCAGTTTTTTTACTCGACAAAATTTGATTTCCTTTTATACTAGTCTTTTTTTTTGTTATCGGTTCTATTTTCAAAGACATATTTATCGAGAAAACAATGCAAATTTTATTTACATATGAATATCGATATCCCTATTTTATAGAGTTGGGACTGTATGCAGAAATAAATGCACATTATCTTAGTCTTATAGTTTCATAAAACGAAAATATCGATAAATTTCGACAAAATTGACAGTTCGTCGATTTTGAGTGACTCAAAAAATTATTAATTAAAATCAAATACGGTCTCGTGTGGGATTCTATTATTAAATTTTTTAATTTTATTTCCTTAATTTAATATTTTGACTTTATTTTTTAATTTTTTCGAATTAATTTGAGCATATACTTTGACGCAAATTTATATTAAGAGTCGTCTCGAGACAAAGTTACTTCTTGTGAATGGACCTTATCAATTAAAAAACAGTTATTTTTTAAAGGTAGCTACTACGTTTAGACAGACCAATTTAAAACAATTTTTTATTAAAATTGTTTTTAGGGATAGCAAATTGACTTTTCCCAATTTTAATTTTTTAATGTCAAATTTTTAGAAATTTGTTTTCAATTTGAGCAAGCGTTTTTTTCATGTGTCACATTATTTAACATTTTTTGTATATAATTTTTTATTTTACCGTCCTAAATTAATTAAAAAAAACCACTGAACGTTTGTTTCTTTTTATCATTTCAATTGACGTTTATAAAAACCTCCATACAAAATACATCAGCTCATCGTAAAACTGACGAACTAATGAATCCAACTTTACTTTGGCAGAATTTCTTATTTAAAACTTATAGTAAAACATTTTTCATAATACTATATTCAAGAATAAATTAGTGAAGAGACTTGAATTCATATTCAAAATTCAAAAAATTTTTACAAAAAAATTTTTTGATAATAATTAGCTTAGTGGGAACACATTTGTTAGTTGCTGTAGGTCATATGTATATTTTTGTCAGCTATGTACTTCAAAATTTTTAAATATTGAACTACATATGTGGTAATAACAGAATGTCAGATTTTGTAGACGTCAAAACATTTTTAAAACGAAAACAAGAAATATTTTATCGTCATTTTGTTTAATATTCAATAATATTAATTCGAAATTCAAAATTTCAATTTAGACGACAGGATTTTGTGATGTATACCTTACTTTATGGATTTTATAAATATTTGACTCGAAAAGAAGAATATTGTGTCCTTATTTTGGGTCTTGATAATGCTGGAAAAACTGTAAGATACTCTAATATTTGTACCATAAAAATTAAATCTAATTTAAGTTTTTTCGAAAATATTCAAAGACTTATTTAGAAGCAGCTAAAACAAAATTTACAAAAAATTATAAAGGAATGAATCCAGCAAAAATTACTACAACAGTTGGATTAAATATAGGTACAATAACTGTACAAGGTATTAAATTAAATTTTTGGGATTTAGGTGGCCAAATGGAATTACAATCACTTTGGGATAAATATTATCAGGAGTCACATGCGGTTATATATGTCATAGATTCAAATGATCGTGATAGAATGGAAGAATCGAGGCAAATATTTGGTAATATAAAAGATTTTGTATTTAAAAACATTTTTACATAAAAAAATATGGTAGATTTTCGAAAATTCAGTTGTAGTGTATTGTAAATTTAAATTACTATGGATGTTGTCTATTTTAATTCTTAAAAAATTTTCTGAAACTCAAGCTTACAACTAGAAAATCTTAAAATGTCAACGTAGAATATTTGATAAATGTTAATTTTTTAGCAGTTTCTTTAGAATTACAAAAATATGCATTATTTTGTTATACCCCAATACAAGTGCTGTGTTAGAAAAACTGGATAATTATATATATATAAACATTCTAATCTACGAATTAATTCGGAAACTGCATTTTCGAAACCTCTTACCACTTATTTAATTATATACGATTAATGAAAAGATTATTATTATTATTATTTTTTTTTTGTTGGTAGATAAAATGATAAAAAATCATCTTCTGGATGGAGTACCTTTATTAATTTTAGCTAATAAACAAGATCTACCAGATGTAATGGGTGTAAGAGATATAAAACCAGTTTTTCAACATTCTGGAGCTGAAATTGGAAGAAGAGATTGCTTAACAATACCAATATCAGCTTTAACAGGGTAACCTTTCAACTAAACTCATCAAATTTCATACATTTTCCATATATACATTTTTATTTATTTTTTTTACCATAGAGAAGGAGTTGATGAAGGAATAACTTGGCTAGTTCATGCTATTAAAAGAAATTCATTAATGAGACCGCCGAGAGAGAATGATTAGTAATAGTATATAGAAATTGGCAAATTATTATTATGAGTTTTTATTAAAAAAAAATATTTCTTTTAAAAAATTAAACTAATTGTATATTGAAATAAATTCCATTTATATAATATTATTTTAATTTATTACAAAAAAAACAAAAAAAAACACGAAAAATTATTTGATTTAGTGTCCTGTCTACCATCGTATTTTTGTCTTAAACTAAAAAAAAAGGCTATAAAATCAAACAAAAAAAATAAAAAACAGCAATTATACAAATAATAAGAAATAAATATTAATATTTTTATATAAAAGGAGATTTTTGTTTTATGTAAAACTTTACTTTTTCAGATTAAAATTGACAACAATAAAGAAATTAAAATTTTTATTTTGTAATTTTATATTCTAATGTATTTCGTTTTTAAGACAAAAAAAAATATACAATTTATGTTAATTAAGTTTACTTATAGATTAAATAGTTTTTTTTGTTTTCTTTTTTATGTCAATTTAAATAAGATTTTTAATTATGATTTTAATAAGGTTTTTTTAAGCAAATTCCTTGTTTATTTTTGATTTCTAATTTTTCATGCATGTCTGCAAATTCAGACAAATTGAAATATGTAACTTTAAATTTCCTTTTAAACATATTATGTACATAATATTATACATTATTACATTGTTGATTTACTAAATAAGTTTAAAAATCAAAAAATAATCAAAATTTCATAAAAATATCCAATAAATTGAAATAAATTTTGCATGAAAATTTTTAAGTTTCTTGTTTTAATGTGCAATTAATGCAAAATTTTTATTTTAATAGTTAAATTTCCTAATTTTAGATCGTTAGACTGGTATACTTTTTAGTTTATATAAAAAAAATTTTATAAGCATTTTACTCGATAAAAATTTGAATAAATCGAAATTTTTACATAGAATACATTTTCCATATGGGGGGAGCTAAATGAAATATGGGTCAGATTTGTTTAGTAATTTACGTTTTTTATGGTTTTATTTCAATTATACGAGCTGGTTTTTTTAAAGTGTTACAAGTTCATTTTTTTATATATTGAGATATTTAAGATTTTGCATTTGAATCAATTTAAAAGTATCATTGACCATAATAACATATTTTGTTTGTTTTATGTTTAAGCAGAACTCTATTGAAATTGTGCTTGTAATTGTGGAGATAAGGTGTCTATAGCTCATCAAAATCATCAATAACTTAGCCTTTTTAAAAAGTGGACTTATACTACTTTCAAAAAAAAAAACCAGCTCTTACAAGCATTGAATATGATAAAATAATGCAAAAATCGGTAAATGAAAAGAACCTTGTTGAATGGTTTTTTTTTTTTGTTAATTTAAGTACATACATAATATATATTCAGCATAAAAATAGACGCAATTAAAATCAACTTTTAATTTTAATTAAGAATTAATTTACAACTCAAAAATGAACTTCTTTTTACAAGCAGTCCCTCATTTTATAATAAAAGGTCATTCATTTTATTATATCATAAGAAAATTGGTAACAATTAATTTTCTGTTTTTTTTTTTTTTTCCTTTTTTATTAATGAAAATAAATACTACTTTTTAATTTTAATAAAATCTATTAAAAATCATAATAATTCAAAATCAATTTCATAAAAAATGACTGGCCTAGATAATAAAAGTATAAAAATTATTGCATATAAATATTTAACTTATATTTTAAATGATTGTTAATGAAATGTGACTTAAAAAAAAAAAATCAAATAAAAAAATTAAATGAATCAATTGAAATTATTAAATCATTTGACGTCGATAAAGAACAAAAAAAATTTTACAGCTTATAATCAAAAAAAAAAAAAAAAAAAATCAGCTTGGTTTTTGGTTTTTAATGTGTACAAATATTTGAGTAATATTATTTTGCTTAAATAAATGCGAGATCTTATTTCATTCCCATTTTTTGTGGTCCACGATCATAAAATAACATATAAGCAGGAATACTTAAAACTTCATCTATTGAAACTTCTTTAACAATTGTATCTGATGTATAATACCACCTTCAAATTTAATATTATAATCAATTAAAAATTAAATTTAAATAAAACATAATTTCAGTTTTACCTATGGGAATTTCGTAAAGCTCCTCTTCTGTATGTCACAAAATGCCCGCTGTTAACCTCACCGGAATGGACAACAACTGCTAATAATCTATATAAATTGCGTGGAAACATTGGCCCAAAACTATATGGACCACCATTTCCACTTGCACCACCAAATGCACTTCCGAATCCACTGCCAAAACCGCTACCAAATCCACTACCAAAACTTCCGCCAAATGGAAAATCTCCATTTGTCGGAAGACTTCCAGAAAATAAAGATAACGTTGATCCAAAAGGGGTATTCGCCTAAAAAGAATAATATCAATAGAACAATAATCATAGATGATTTTATTTCAATTTACCTGACTATTCAAATGTGGTTGAACAAAACTGTATGGAGCCATTGAAAGGCTCTCCGGAAAATGAACATAATCTAATCTTTTACAAGTCTTTCCAGTGGGCGACCAAATAGTTCTTTGAATATGTATGCACAGACATGAAGGTAATTTGGCAAATGTAACAGATTTTGTATGATTAGTTGTTTCATTACATGATTCGCATTGAACATCATTTATATTTTCTGGAGTAATATATTCACTTAATAAATGCGCCAAGCTCAGCCCGGTTCGCTTGTCTTCTGGTAAATTGAGAGAAATGCTATCAAATTTGTCATAACGCACTGGCGATTTATAACCACAACCACTGCAAACCAATTGACTTCCCATTGCACCTTGAAAAGGATGTGGTACTTGAGTAGGGCCTCGATCTGACCAAATCTAAAATTTAAAATTTAAAACAATAATTTTAATGAAACTATTATTTACTACCGAAACTCTTCCTGGGCCCCTGCTCAATCTTTCCAAAGATCTACAAGACATCGAATTTTTTTTACTTAAAGGGTTATTCCCCAAATCTCTAACATCTCCAGTTGCCCCATTTCCCATCATTATATTATTCCTTCCATATCCTTGCAAAGTTCTGGATCTTCTCGATTGCAAACTTAAATTTGGAGACATTGTCGGATCACAATTATCCATTATTGAAGCCACTTCTTCATTTTCGTCACAAACAGATGAGGGAGAATCAGGAGTATGAGCTTCAGAGCGAACTTGCCGCATTATATTTAAATTAGATGATTCACTATATTCTTCAGCATTCATAAAATCAGATAACATTGCACTTGAAGGTCTTTCAGTTAGTCCTTTACATTGTTGTTGACTATTCAAAGCATCTGATAAACATCCAACCGTTTTAGGAGGTCGAATAGCCTCCTCTTCTAAAGATGTTAATATGACATGTAATAACTCGTGGGCATCATGCTCATCCGGCGGTATAATCCAACCTAATGAATTTAGAGCACGGATTACAGCGCCAGGTGAGTATGGATCACCACGTAGAGTTGGATGTGTACCATTGATTACTTCTAATGTATTAAGTAAAGAAGCTATCAGACTTTTTTTGTCTGACGCACCATTATGTAACTGTAACCATGCAATAAATTGAGGACATGCTGCTAATGCTTGAAGTAATGTATTAAGAAAACATGTACGACCAAAATTATGTAAACCTGCTATTTGACCACGTCTTTGACGTAATCTTGATGATCCTGAAGATAAAATATTACTAATATAATTTAATTTAAAATCAAATGCAATTTTTCTCAAATTCTGTACGTATAATGCACATATGTAATGTAGGTATATTTTCTATTTAACAAAGAAAAGAATTTAATGTTTAATTTGTATGTTAATCTACTTGGTAGGTTACCTACACATTTGTATTTCGTATTAGGTAATTAATTTCACTTTAATTGCTAACAGATAATTATAAAATAAGGGACGGAATGTTATTAATTTTTTCAATATGCATTAAGTTTAGCATTACATACAAAAATATAGTCCCATAATTTTTTGAGGTGCAAATGTGTATACATAATAAATATGTACAATATTACTGACCAAGGATAATAAAAAATTTAGTTTTTTTTCGTTTTAATAGGTAGGCACCATGACATTGTCTATTATATAGATTATGGAAAATTATTTAAAAAAAATCAACTTACCGGAAGGTCCCCAAAATACAAAAGCACCAACAACCTAAAAAAATATTGTAAATTATGTTCAATTGATTTCTCTAAAAATGAATGCACTATACTAACCATAGCAGCAGTAACACCAGCTGCCATCAAAATTTTTTCTCCTTCCATTTTTACCAATGCTTTTTATATAATTTTAAAGTGTAGGTAATTTTTAGTTTATTATTTAATATTTTTTTCAATGAGCTATTCAGCCCATTATACATTTACAAAAAAAAACTTTTCTTTAATTATAGAAAATTCTTATAACTTGTAATCATTTTAAGTTGTCAAAATAAGAAAAACTAAATATGACTTTTGACATTTTGAAGAAATCATATTTAAAGGGACCATACCATAATACTATATTAGTGCGACCCAATAAACAAAAATTATTTCGTGTTTCCACAGTGTTCTTCTTTCTTATTTTTAGGTTTTTATGAAACTATAAAGTTTTTACATGTAAACATATTTTAAAAGAATGATAGCGGCTTTTATTACATAAATTCAATCACTTCATTTAATTACAATCACTTCATTTAATTAGAACAGTTGCCAAATATATAACCAAACAAAAATTGGCAATTGTCCAAGGAAAATATTTAGGGGTAAATGGTTTTTTTTATTTGTATTTGCAGTATAAATTGATCTGAAATTGACTCAAATGTGATAAGTATTTGGAATTGCAAAAGACAGTATGTGTTGTTAAAACAAAATTTTGAAATCGCCTTTAAAATTTGTTACTGTTTATATGTCTAAGATATGTCTACGAAGTGAACACTGTTTGACATCGATTTTGTTTGATAGCAAATAATTCAAATTACTCTGTTCTTATTAGATCAGACAATTAATTTTTTGTGGAAATTTGGAACAGCGATCAGCTGATTTTTATTTTGGTTATAATTTTTGATAAAATTTTGACGTAAAATCTGAAGTCTATCAGGTAATTTTAGACTGATATGTAAACAGTTACCAGCTACTATTGTGGATTTAATATAGTTTTTTTCCGGGATACAAATTTTGATCTTTTGAAGTTGACATTTTTCTTAAAAAAAATTTGCATAGTATGAAAGTTTCAAAATATTTTAAAAATCATCTTAATACCGTTGAAGGTATTTCAAAATACTTTTTTATATTAAGAGATTAAAAATTGCAATAGATAAAAATTATTTTTGTTAGTTGAGTTTCCAATTTCAAGAGAAAGACCACTAAGATTTGGAATATATTTTAAGCAAAAAAAAAAGAATTTCCTTACTTTCATATAGTAAAATCAATTAATATTTTGTTTTGCAGGTACATAAACGAAAACTTACGCCTTTCACAATCTTAATGTGTAAAAAAGTTTTATACTGGGAACTGCATAGTAGTTTAAATATTTAAATAACAGTCAAAGAAAAAATTCGTTTGGAAGTAAGTAAAAAATGTGATAGAAAAATTTTTTTTAATAATAAATTTTTATAGGTACTTACCTAATATTTTTGGCACATTAATGTTAAATAATTACACTTTCTTTTTTAAATAATAAGTAAGCATATTTTTTATTATTTTAATTTTATTATATTATAATATTATTGCCGCCTTTTAAAGAATTTTCAGAATTTCATTTTTATAATTTTATAATATTATTATTATTATTAAATATTTTATTCAAATATTTAAATGGAATTAGGGTGTATTCTCTTAATTTTATAATAAACGTTTTGTAAGCGAAATGACACATTCATTAAATGTATGTAGGATTAGTGAAATTAAAAATAAATAAAATAGGCTATAAATTATTGCAAATGATTTTTTAATGAAAAATTTTTAATTTATTATTTTATTTTGATATGAAGAAATTTAATAATTTAAAGAATTGGTTTGTTTCTTGTTCAATTTAATGCATGAATGTCATGCTTTTGTCAATACAATAACATTGTAATTGGAATTTTTGAGCTTTTTATAATATTATGCCATACATATTTAGTTTTTAATTATCTTAAATTTGTTATTGTTCTTATTATTGATTTAAAAAACCGAATACTATTTTGAATTTTCAATGGTATTATAATTATTATAATTATATTCTTAAAATCATTGTATAATATTATTTACCATTAATAAAACTTTTATCATTGGGTTAATTAACTTTTATTATAAACATTAAATTTAAAGATCCAACTAGTTAAGTATATAAAAAATTCATAAATTATTGTTAAGAAAGGTTTAAAATGGAATTTTATGCTTTATGTGTTTCGAGAATATATTAAAATCGACAATATACGAAAATAGAAAATTTTTTAAAAACAATTTGAAATTTTTGTGCTTTTCAAAACCAATACGTTTTATTTTTATTATATTTATATTTTTTATACATTTAAAAAATTCAAATTATTTTTTACACATTAAAATAACAAAAAAAAAATGGAACACATCCCTTATTGTTACTGCCATAAGCAAATTAGGACTAAAAAATTTGAATAAAAAAAAATTCTATACTGTTTGATCAAAATTCGTTGCATTTTCTTATATTTAAAACAATTTTTCGTGTTAGTTGGATTTTTTAATTAATTAATTTAATACTTTATAACATAGGTAATGTTAGAATGGAAATCAATTTATTGAGTATTATATAAACAAATTGTCGTAATATTTTTAGAATTTATATAAATGTACAAGGGAATTGTTTATTTTTTTTTTCTAGTTTTAGAGTTTATTTAACAAATAGGTTTAATATTTGCTATAATATGATATAAAATTTTAATTTATTAATATTTAGTTTAGTTTGTATTAATCTAAAAAACACGATTATATTTTCACAAAAATTAATATATTGTTGGAATAATTTGGAATATTAATTTGAATTTAACTACGATCATTTAAATCTATATTGTATATATTAATCGATTATCATAAATAAATAATCTAAATAAAATTTTTATTTGAGTTTTCGAATATAAATTTATAAATATTTACGAAGTTTGGCACTTGAATATAATTTTAATTAATAATTATTTTTACGATTTGATTATGACATAAAATGACATTACATGCATTTTAAATTTATATCATTTTCATTATATTATTAAATATTAATACTTAAATTAAATAGAATGTTTTGTATAAGTACATCATTTTTATTTTTATATTTATTTTCTTTAACTTCCATTTATATATTTTTTCAAATTTTTGAGCTTTAGTTTTACAAGTTGAGTTTTGCGAAGAACAAAAAAAAAAATAGGAAAATTTTAAAAACAATAGCTAGAACCCTACATACATACATACTTATATAAATTAATAATAATTATTTACTTATAGAATTGTTTTTTTTAATTATTTATTTATTTATTTTCTTCTGTGATGATAATTATGATGATTTTGATGATTTTGATGATGGTTATGATGAAAATTTGGTGAATGATGTGGATTTGGATGCTGATTATGATTGTGTTTACATGCATCAGCTCGTCTTAATACTTCAGCGTACGATAATTCCAATTTTTTTAGTTTATGTAAATCTTGTGATGCTTGACTTGGTCTATATTGACCACGAGTCATATCTAAAGGTTTATGTTGATTGGTATGATGATGATGGTGATGATGTTGTTGTTGTTTTTGTTGTTGTTGTTGTTGATCAACTTCTTCTTCAATAATATTTTGTTCCTTACTATCGGTATTACTGGTAATAATGTTATTTTTATTACAATGTGGGGTCGGAGATTGTGCATGATTACGATTATAAATTACCATAGATGTACCATTCCATTCTGCATACATATTTTGATTATTTCGTTCTGGTCCACTATGAGTTGCAAGTGGACTAACGTTTAACGGTCTCATGTCACGTCGTTTTTTACCACTAAAATAGATTCGGGGCGGTGATGGTAAGCCTACCGGTGATTCAGAACGATCCGAATTAAAATTACGATTTTTCTTACGATTTTTCTTTTTTATACCAACACCAACAGCAACATATTCTAATGGTTCACGTTTTAACGGTGTTAAAATAAGTCCATTTTCTGTAATTATTTGTTGCTTATTGTATGATGAACATGATGATTTAACTTCTTGATTGATTATGTGTTTCTTAGCAGATTTACGTTCTGTTTTTGTGATACATTCAGACATGGCAACAGATTGTTCTGACATAACTGATGATACAACTGATTGGGTATCATCTCCAAAATCTGGTAATTCTTCATTTGATGGAGTAACTGGTGGTACTTTATCTGTTTCTGTAGATGCATTTACATCTAGCTGTTTTGTAGACGGGTTTGTGTCATCAAGGAGAGGTAATTTTTCACCTTCTTCTTTATTTTTAGCTGCTTTACGTAATACAGCAAATATTTCTTTAAATAATTCACGATATTCAGGACGATTACGGAAACGGGAATCAACGGGACTAACATCATCATAAATACTAAATTTACAATCTTCACCATCACCAATTGAGCATAAGAAATAACCAGGACGATCATCAGTTTGTGTACTTTTATTGCTCGTTTCATCCGAAAAACCGGAACTTGATGTTTCTGCTTCTGAAAAAATTTCAGTTGGAGTAGAACGTGATTTTCCTATTTTTGAGTTTTCATTTAATATACCACCATTGCTACTAGTACGACCTTGTGATAATGTTTCATTTGTTGTGCTACCATTACAACTAGCAGCATCATTTAATATGGCATTTTGTTGTAATTGATTTTCATCAATATAGTTTTCATTATCTGATGCTGATGTTGTAACCGGAACAATTGGTATAATATTTGGGCAAATGAAACCGCATGATTGTAGTTCATCAGATAATGATGGTTGTTGATCATTTTCAGTTAAATTATTGAAATTTTTACGAAAAACTCCCCGACTTTGAATTTCAACAAGTGCTTCATATTTTTCTAAAAGTTCACGATATGGATTTGGGCTATCGCAATCAGCATGCAAATCAATTGAGCTGCCCTTTTGTGATGAAGACAACTGAAAAATAAATTTCATTTAATATATGTCTATATAAGAAAAAAATTAAAATCAAATATATAAAAATATTAAAATCACTTTAGGAAAGTGATATTAATTTTTGTAATATTATTTAATATGTATGTATGTATGTATATTACAAAAATTTTGAATACATACTCTACAATAAAATTGACTAACATACGTATATATGTATGTACATGTACATAGGAACGGGAATTCAGGGGTAAGTAATTTTAACAGTGACTTATTAATGTTATAAATTTAATGACATACATGGCGTATACTTAATGTATGTTGCGAATGATAAATATAATTAAAGATTATGGTTTAGATTTCATTTGCTGTATTGTTTTACGTATTATAAAATTACTCAAATAAAAAATTATTTTGTATGTGTTCTTTTAACTGAATAATACTGTCAAATGCATTCATTTACTCTACTACATATGTGAAGCTGTCATTATAATCGACTTTGTATCAAGTTTTATTATCAGTTTATTTTATGTCCTATTTGTTGTTTTTTTTTAAATTATCAAATTATGTACTGACTTCATAAATTTAAAAAAAAATTAACACTGTTTTAATTTACATAGAAAATACATTTAAATATTTCTACCATCAATTTATTTTTAAATAAATAAGTAATAAATTTATTTATTTAAAATAATGAGAAAAATTTCTATTTTATTTATAATTTCAAATATTGTTAAATAAATGTTATTAAATAATTATTAAAATAGTTAACTGCACTAAATTTATACTACATACGCTCATTTTAATAAACTGTTTTATAAGACTAATATAGTGCAGTTTAAAAAAAGCAGTGGCATTGAAATGAAATAAAATTAATTTGAAATAATCACAAAAAATCATTTATTAATATTTTTCAAATATTTTAACAACAGTGGAATCGAATTTTTGTAATATGATTTGAATATGATTACAGTATTTATACTGAAATAAAGAGTTTTAGAAAAAATTTTAGTGAATTCTAAATGAATTTTGACATAAAAGTAAAATGTCAATTATTACAGTTCATGTTGTAATCAAAATTTTAAATAGTTAAAAATTATAAGAAAATTACACTTTGATATTTTCTTATATTTTTTTCTGTTTGTATATACTTGTACATTTTCTTTTATAAATATTTTCTTGGATTTTTAGATTTTTAATTAAATAAAAATAAGGTATAGATATAAAAATTTTCCCCATTACCATTCCATTTCGCCAAACTTAAAACTATGAATATATTTAAAATAATTATTGTACATAATAATTATTATATGTATATCACAATACAATATACTATATTTTTATAAACGAAATAAAAACACTGAAACAAAAAATAATCCACTCACGTACAAGAATACTTTAAATACAGTAAAAATATCATGCAATTTATAATGAAAATTTTTACAAAATACAAAATAATAGTAAAATTTCAAATATTACTTAATAAATATAATTAGTTAATAGAAATGAAATTTAAAAATAAATATAACATTATCATAAAAAACAAATTTTTACTTTTGTTTTTTTTAATTAATATTTATATGCATATACACAGAGGGAAAACATAAACTGCACAATAAGCCAGCAAAAATCATTTTTGATTTAAGGGTATAATAATAATAAGAAGATACGTTTGTGTCTCGGACATTAGGATAAGAATTGCGATATATGAATGAAAATGATTAAAAATGTGTGTATTATGAATGAAAAATTAAAAAAAAAAAAAAACAAATAAACAAAACTTCATATAAATTAATATAAAAAAATGTCTTTTTATTGTCATTTATTTTTGTTTTTTTTTTCTTCTTTTCTTATAAATTATAAATAAATAAATTCCTTTTTTTTTGTAAACTTAGAAAAAAAAATATATATTACAAAAAAAACAGTTAAATAATAATTGAAATTTTAATTAAAATTAATTAATTTTTTTGTAAATAATCAAATAATTTTAATAACATTCAAATTAAAAGTAAAAAATAAAATTAGTTTTCAAAACTACTTATTTTTTGTTTTTTTTTTTTAAATACCTAATGTTCTAAATGACTAAATAATATTATTAACAATTTTTGAAATAAAATTGAAAAAAAAAACAATGAAAATTAAATTTGTAAATTAAATTTTTTTTTATTGCATACAATTTTGTTATTTGAAAATTTAAATGTTTGGGGGTTGCTACTAAATATTTTTTCAATACAAACTTTATATGTATTTGAATTACTTGATAGTAATGTAACAATGATATTAATTTTTTAATGGCTTAAGGAAACTCAAATTAAATATTAAGTATGTATACTATATGCATTTGAATATTGTAGCAAGAAATGGTACATATTTTATTACATGGTATTTTTGGTAAATATTCATTTGTAATTTTGTACTGTAATTTTTAATTAATTGTAATCCAATGATTACTGAATGGAAATTTTAAAATTATTATAAAAAATATAACAGAAAATAAAAAATGAAGACTTCATTTTTATTTATACTAAATAAATAATAATTAATAATTACATTTAATTAAAAATTAATTTTATTAATTCAGAAAAATAATTGAATAACAAATGTATTTTATTAAAAAAAAATTGGTTGAAATTGGGATTACAGTAAAAGAAGTAATTCACATATAATATTCAATTATATTATAATAGTTTCTAATAAAATTTTTTTTACAGTGTAGACTATATTGGCAATTCAAATAGATATCAGATAGAAAATTTTTGAAAATTAATTTTGTTTCGCTTTGTTTTCTGCTAATCAAGAGAACCGCTGATTTAAATTATTTAATATTGTATGCGTAAAAAAACTTTAATATTTAACAAAATGAAATTTTAACAAGTTTTGAGGCAATTGAATTTTTATGATTGTTATTTCTTTTTTTTTTGTAATAAATTTAAATTAATTAAATTTTCACATTTTTCATATTTTGTGATTCTTTTTTTTCGTTAATTATTTTCTTTTAAACAGAAAATTTATATTTTTTTTTTTATATTATATTTTTTAGTATTAATATAACAATTAATAATACAATTAAAAAAAAAAATCAAAATTTAATAATTTTAAAATAATAATTTTTCTACTATAAAGAGAAAGAGAGAGAGAGAACAAAAAAAAAAAAAACAAATAAAAATTATTAAAAAAAAAATAAAAGTATTCTACATAAAACTAAAATAATCATCTTGTGGTAAACTAATCATACGATAAATGACTAATGCTGGCCATTGTAAGATTTTCAAGATCCATCGCAATAATGGTATATTTTTGAATTTCTTCCATAAATCAATCACTATTTGATCTAATTGTATAGGCAACTCATGCAGGTACTTTGTTGTTTTTGAACAAATCACACATTCCGCCTATAATAATATTATAGGTTAGGTATTACATAATAATATATTTTCTTTTTTAATTTTTATTTTTTTTGTATTTTAATCTTAATTTAATTTTCTTTATTAATATTATTATTAATTAATAAAATTTAATTTGATTCAAAAACAATAATTAGGATTTTAATTTAATTTTCCTAAAATTATTATTTTTCTTTATTAGTTCATTTCAAAAAAAAAAAATATTAATAATTTGTATTTTTGAATGTTTGTTTAATTTGAATTTTGTTTTTCTTTTTCTATTGTTGCCAGTATAGTGTATTAGAAGTATTTGATGAAAATTTTTAATAAAAAATAAAAATTAAAATATATTCAGAAATTTGAATTGTAGAACCTATTTGGTTTCGTACTAAAAAATTTTAGATAATTTTATTTTTTATGAATTTATATTTTTAAACGACAAAACCTAAGATTTAATCAGAGTCAGATAAAAGTCGTATGTGTAAACATTTTCTGATATCAAACTTTGTCTGGCGGCAAATAATACAAATTACTCTATCAAATTTATTGAAAGATTTTTTAAAAGTAAAACGGCGACAACCAATTTCAAATGTGAGTTTTGAACAGCGATTAGCTGATTTTTTTTTTGGTTATAATTTTGACGTATAGTCTGATTGATATGTACGAGTATGTTAGACAGTCATTAGATTTAATCTTATGTTTTATTGAATATGTAAACGGCACCTTACGAAAAAAAAAATAGAATTTTGTTGTCAAAAATTAGAAATGTTTGAATGTAAAAAACATTAATAATTTTGATAAAAATCAAGTGAATTTTTTTTTGCAAATTAATAATAGTGCATATGATTTTATGCTCTTCCAATTATTTTTTACATAACTAAAAATAAGAAAGACTACATACTCGTAACTAGAGAGACTAAAGATAATCAAATAATGTGAAATTTTAGTTTATTAATAATCTAGATTTAATTAATAACTCATTAATAATAAATTTAATTAAAAAATAGTTGAATATAAAAATTGATAAATGTTAATTCTTAAATAAAAGGAGGAAAATAAATTTAAAAGATTTTATTTTGAAAGTGATTGCGAAGTATGCATCTTAAATTATTGATCTTAGAGCTTAGCTTTGAACAGAATCTAAATGAATATTAAGGATAACTCTACACAGTGTAGCACCTTAATAGCAATTGGTAAATTTTAACTTTTATATGAATTTGGTGTTATTTTGAATTTCAAATCTCTGAATGTATTTTTTTTATTAATAATTTAAAAAACAAAATAGTTATTTATTTTTAATAAGTTTTATTTAATTATTTTGTTGTATTATGATGTAATATTGTACTTTGAAATTAGTATGTTTTGAAATTTTCAAATTTAATTGAATTCTACGCAGACAATAAAGTGTTTAGCAGCTTATTACTTTTTTATATTTAATATTAAATTTTTAAATAGTGTCAAAAATAATCTACATTTTGTATTTGTACAATTTTAAATAATTAATAATTATTAATTTTTGATCGCAATTTCATGGAAGAACGAAAACAAAGCTTCAAAATGAAATTAAAAAAAAATTATGTTATGTAAAAGTAATTAAATGGTAAAAATTAAATAAAATTGTTAAAGTTAAGATTCATAATAAATTTATGACAAATCATGAAATAAATATTTTTATATTGAACATTACTGTAAATATATGAAATCTTTTAAATTTTTATATTTTGTTTAAATAGGGGGATCAAATAACATAATTGTATTAAATATGTTATAAATAATTTATGTTATTAAATTTGAATTATTGTTATTTGAACTTTTATGAAAAGGTTTTTGATATTTTTAAATATTTACTCAAATAAGTTATCAAATAAGTTATAATAAATGATTCAGTATCTTAGAGGTCTTTCATATTTAATAGCTAATATCTTCAAAAACTTGAATATATTAACTATAAACCCTAACATGCTTTAATATTATATAATTAGAAATTTATGTTAATTAACACTTAAATTTCTCCCAAAAAACTTTCATTTATGTATGTTATAGCCCTTTCTCTTGCATGAAGAGTTTAGCTGTTCATACCCCTCTCCATTATCTACTTCATATCAGTGCTAGTTTGTTGTGATTTATAATACTAATTTAAATTTTCTTAATATTATAAATTTCTATATAATATAATATAAAACAATAATTTTTTATAATAATGGGGCTTAATTTGGAGAAGTATTATTGATATTTATCGTAAAAATTTTAAAAAATTTATTGTAAACATAAATTTGCTTAATTAAATTGTTTGGTTTATGTTTGCAATAAAAATATGTATGTATCTAATTTTTGACAATAAACGTCATTTTAAAACTATATGATTCTTTTCTCATAATAATCCTCAACAATGTGGCAAAAAAATTTCATATTGCAATTATAATTCTTAAGACAAAATTATGTGTTTTTTGTTTTTAACAACATTTTAAATAGATAGTAAAAATATTATTTTTAAAGTAATAAAATAATTTTTTCATGCCATATTTAAAATCTAAATTTTTAATTTTGCTACTAATTAAAACCACAAAATACATGCAATAATTTGATTAAAATTAAGTTTTTAATTAAATTTTTAATTCTTTTATGTTTTAGTAAATTATATTTAGTATTGAACTTTCTAGTAATTTAAGTATTTTAGTATTCTATTTACATATTCATTACAATATGTTTATGTTTCTATATACAAAAAATATTAATGTCTCTAAGAAATTACCAAAAATAATGTGCTATATAAGCTGTTAACTATTTTAAATTTTAATGAACTTTGTACAAATTTCTTACTTGTAAAATTTTATGTACAATATTTTATTGAACTACTAAATAAAAGATCATATATTTTTTAACTCTAGTCAGGTTACAGTATAGTAAATTTTAAAGTTTTATAAAATTATGTAAAATGTCTTGTAATTAAGGAAAAAAAATCCTGAAATTTTAATGTAATAAAATTTTTGGTTGTTTTATATGATCTTTTATTAAGTAATTATTTTTCAAGTTTTAAATTTTAATTATACAAAATAAATTTTTACTTATACAATTAAAAGTATATAAAAGCAAAAATAAATTTTGCTCAAGAAATATTATTTAACATTTTTAATAAGATAACTAAAGAAAATCTCCATACCTTCACTGTTAAAGCGGAATGATAAATACGTTCTTGTTCTAAGTCTAAAAGGCTTCGATCATCATCATCTTCTGTTGGAGCAATTGATGACGCTTCATCCATATTTGTACGTTCATCAACAGAACGTAAACATCTGGTACACATTCGACCTTGTCTAAAAAAAAAAAATAAACAAAAAGAAACATAATTAGCAAAAATTTTATTCGATTATTGTAATTTGTATAATTAGACTGTAGTTTTAAAATGTTTAATACAATTAATTATTTATTAAATTAGAATTTAATTCAAAATTAATATTAACTTAACATTAGGAAAATGCAAATGATCACAAAATTGAACAATTTTAACTTACCGAACTTCATCCAAAATGGAAAGTTCATCTTGGACCGATTGTAAAGATTTTAAGTCTTCATTAACATTACTTTGAGCAAGTTTTCCTTGTAATGACTGATTTTCTCGAACTAAAATTTAAAAAAAAAATAATTGTAAAATTAATTAAAAAAATTTTAAAAATTAATAGATGTGTTATGCATGAGATCAGTTAGGTTTTTTTTTAAATAAATAAATATTAAAAAATGTATAAATATGAATAGTATTGAAGTTTAGGAAAATCGTTCCCTGTAAAAATTTACAAAAGAAGTTTCTTTCTTGTATTTTAAATTAACATTTACATCCTGAAAATCTACAAAATGTTGAAAATTTATCAAATTTTATAAAGTGAAATTCATTCTTTTAAATATGAAAGTGAAGAGAAAAATAGATTTTGATATTTAGAACGAAAATTATTGGGGCTACAAAATATTAAAATCTTTGATCTTGAATATTGAATTCTTTGATCTGGACAATGAGCCATAATTTTCTTTTTCATATTTTGAACAAACAATTTGAACAGCAAAAGATTGTTTTTTTATTGCCTTGGCATGAAATTTCTTTTGATTGATTTAAAAGTTGAATTACTTAATTTTAAGTCCATTTGGATTGATGATTATAAACATATTATGTTTATAATATATCTAAGTGATTCAAAATTTAAAATTTTTATTACTTTTAGATATTTCTCATAGATTTTGAAATTAAGGAACACATCGTGCATATTATATTCTTGAGATATTACACTGTATAGAAATTTTCCAAATGCCGCTATTTGTGTGTATAATTTTCAACTTACTTAAAGTGAATATTTGATCTTCTAATTCTAAAACTTTTTGTTGTTCAGCACGATACGCTTTTTTAGTTGAATCCAATTCTCTTATAATCTCTTCATTTTCATCAGATGTAATATGACTTAAACTAAGAGATTCCAATAATTCATTATTAACTCTATCACTAATATCAGTTGAATTTTTATCATGATGACCAGGTGATTGGAATGCAAAACTACAATTTTCTGGTTGTGTTGTATTTGGATTAAATCCCTAAAATAAAAAAAAAAATTATTAATTATTAATATATAAAATTTTATAATATTTTTAATAAGACTTACATCAGCTTCATCATCATTATATTCAGATGATGATGTAAATACATTTGGCCGTAAATTAACTTGATTTTCATCGCTTTTATTATTTTTTTCTTCTAATAATTTTTCAATACGTTTACGTTCTGAATGTAAAGATTTTTTTAAGTCTTCAATATTTTTGAGCGATTCATCACGTTCTCTTTCCAATAATTCATGAGCCTCAGTGATTCTATAATTAAAATAAATAAATAATTTATTAATAAATTTATTATATTTAAAAAAATTTTTTATAATTATGGATTTTTTTAAAAATACTTACGCCTTATTTTTATTTTGTAATTTAATATTTTCCTTATTTAATTTTTCATTTTTCCTTTCCAAGTCTTGTATTGAAATGTCTAATGTTTCATAACAATGCAGTCTGGCATCATTAACTTCTCTAAGTGCATTGTTCTGTTTTTGAAGATGCTGCAAAATAAAAAACAAAAATAAATATTAAAATAAAATTAAAAAAAAAAAAACAATTATGTAATTTTCTTTAAACTATGCGTGAATAATTTCACGCAAATTGTTTTAATCAAAAATATCTCTGATTGCAGAAAACAAAAAAAATTAAATTGTTCTAAAAATAAATTTATAAAATACAGTTATTATCGATTAAATGCAATAAATATAGGGAAATAGGGAAAAATTATATTGGAAATTAAAAACAAAAGAAGCTAAAATAAATTCCTAGTTATTATTGGCAACTATAGAACAATAATTGTGCTCGTATACGATCGTTTCAATTGTTATGTGGGGAATGCGAATTATGAAACGTCAAACAGAGTATAATAGAGAAGAGATTTATGCGCAAATTTCATAATGATCCTAGGAACCAGGGCAAATTCAAAAGTTTAAATAACAGATAATTAAATTAATAATAGATTAATTATATTCGATTATGCCTCAATAATGTAGGTCTCTTTTTTTCCAAGATTTTTTTAAATTTTTGCGAAAAAGGACTAAGTTTCTCAAGAAGCCTAAACTGAAACCCTAGAAAGAAAAAAATTATTGAAATAGACTTCGTAATTGCAAAATTTTTTTTAGAAAGTGTTTGAGCTCTTTTATCTACAAATGAGAGAATTAGTTTCTTCAAAGAGTCAAAAGTATTATTTAAAATATTGAAGTGAGCCATCAAAATTTTAAATTGTACTCGTAATTATAATTTTTCATGATAGGAGGCTACCACAAGACCTCTTAATTTCTCTTTCAAGGCAAGGAAATTTATATACTTACATAGTACATAAGTAGTAATTAATTTCAATTTCAAATAACCAAATCACTTAAGAAAATCCAAATTGCATTACAAACGCTTTAAAAAAACGAAGACCAGAGTAATTTTTTGGAAAATTCTAAATTTTATTTTTGTAAAGATTATTTAAAGAAAAGAAATTATTTATTATCATTTGGGTAAATTCATACATATATTTTTTCACTTTATTCAGTGTGTATAAAATTGTTAAAATAATTTGGTATTGTAAATTAGTAACATTGCGGAAATTTTCGCGGTTCAATAAATGATTCAATTCTATTTTAGTAAAATATTTATTTTTTCTTTCTTTCTTATTATATTTGATTGATTTTAGAAGAAAAAAAACCAAATATATTTCCTCCATTGTTTTGTAAATTTTTGTGTTTTTGCAAATTCCAAAAAGAAATTTTCTTTTAAGTTGTAGTATGTATGATGCAAAGTGATTGTTTAATATATGATTAAATTAAAGTGACTAAAAGAAGCAATTTTAAATAATATAATACAAAACTTTAATAATATTAGAAAGTTCTATTTAAATTTTGATTATTTATCTAAGTATCTATATTGCCTCTGTTTGTATTCCAAATAAGGTTATGAATCATTAAATTTCAATCATACGTAAAATATTGTAATTCAATCATAATTTTTATTCTGGAACTAGGCTGTTATGGTATAATGATTTTAGGTTAAGAGAATCTCATTCATTTTTAATACAATTGTATAAAGTTATTGAAATGTAAAATTCAAAATATTTCAGAAATTAATTTTTGCGCTAAAAAATTAGCAAAATTAGTAGAAAGAGAAAATATGGGTTTATATATAGTGCGTAAATTGTTGCCAAAATTAAAGAGCAATATCGATACATAAATAAAATAAACTTCATTTCAACCATAAAACAACAAGGTTTCGAGAGCATTATTTTGACGAGTACGTCGATTTACTTTTAAAGAACTGGTATTCAACATATTAAATTTTTATAATAATTTATTGTGTTGTATGTATGAAAAATTTGTGTAACTAGACCAACTTTTTACTTAAACAAACAAAATATTACAATAAACTCTATTTAAAATTTAATTAAACACTTTAACAGTTAAAAAATTCATAAAATAAAAATTAGTCATGAAATTTATTCATTTTTTTTGCTTCTATTATTAAAGTTCAACAATTCGTTTAATAAAATATTGAATTTTGTAAAAGAAGTGCTACATTGAATACTAATTAACACAAAATTAGAGACCGTTATATTATCAAAAGAAAAACAAATCAATATAAGCGTAATATGTGATCAATATGTTACTGGCAATCTACATAATATAACCCAGATTATATCGAGCAACTTTTAATACAGAAAATTTCATAGAAGACATGGCTGTCGAAATAATAGGTATACACGATTTAACTAATTTCATGCATAGGCAATGCAAGTTTAAGAAACGGTAATCAAGTTAATAAAGACTAAACCAGTTAAATGATAATATGCTGCAAGACTTTGTTACACTTGTACTACATGAAATTGAATTTAAACTTCATATTGATATAGAAAGCATTTATAAGCACACATTTGAGATGCTTTAGCATTTTTGTTTACAAACATAAAGATTTCTATGCAAAAATGAAAATATGCTATGCGTATAACTGAAAATATGCTCTTAAACTTGTCGTATTGCTAGTAACAAGTTAAATAATAAAAAGGGCTATGAATATAAATTTGTTTGCACCTTTGTTATAAGTGAGAGAGAGGAACGTGACTTTAATAAATTTTCTTCTTCATTAATTTTTCATATGAATTTTAAAAATGTTTTTGTAAAATACAGTTAACCTTCTTAAGTAGAAATAAAATGTTTTTAAGGTATTGTGTAATTTAGTTAATTTTTTTTTTTTGTTGACAAGTTAATAAACCCTCTCTAATTCAAAAGTTGAATGAAAATTGAATGTTTTTGTACTTATGTAATTTTTAATAATTTTGTTTTGTAAATTACATTCTTAAATTATGCCGTAACTTAGAATAATGTTTCATTTCTTATTCTTAAATTTTTGTTTTACAGGCCTCACTAAAAGGTACAATTAATTCACGCTTACTTTTTTGAACTGGTTGTAGGTTTTGTATTGTTGTAAAAATGCACCGCAACCCACAAAGAAAAATTGTACTCGTGTTTGTACCTTTAAAAAAAATTTACAAAATGCAATCGGTTGCAATCGCAGGCTCCTTGGGAGTTCTCTCAATCCCCTGACAAATCAACCCTGAGTATTTTCACTTGGTTTCAATAATTTTCTTAAAAAGATGTCTGATTATGATCTGCCAAAAGATATTTAGTTTGTCGGAGCCCCGAAAAATATTGTCAGTGCTCCGACTCGACCCTCTCCATTCCCATCTTTATTCCATCTTGTACCGTATTCTATGAAGAATGAACTACCTCCCATCCTCGGTTTTCGCATTGATTAAATAGTCTCTCTGAAATTTTTTATTTTATTTGGTTAATCTAGCAGGAAACCAAATTAAAATTAACTTCACTTTTTTCATAATTTTTAATTTAATAATGATTAGAATTTAATTTAGATAATCGTCTACAATTTTTGTTTCTCATTTATTTTTCAAATACAAATTCCTTTTACATTTTCTTAAATTTTCAATTGTCTCGTTAAAATTTCTATTTACAATTTTAAAGAACTTAATTTTTTATGGTGACCTATAAAAATGATTACATTTTAGTTGAATTTAGTGGCTTTTTCTACATGTACACTAGTGTTTTTTTTTTGTGCCGCTATAATAATGTTTAAATTGCACAGTACTTTTAGAATTTATCAACAAACAAAAAATAAATACCAAATCATATGTAATGGTCTATAAACTGTTTAAATTCAATCCATTTATATATGTAGTTCAAAAAATAATAAAAGTTAATTGAATGGCGAGAAAAAAAGAACCAAGTAAAATTGTAATGTATGTTAGTATGTGGTGTTGGAGACTCTTAATTTTCGATTATCAGCATTAATTCTTGCGAGTATGAGCATTATATTTGAAAATTTAATTATTTTTTAACTCAATTATTTTAAAAAATGTGTTGATTTAAAAGAAAAGAAAGTAACAATTGTATTTTGCGGTATTAGAAAAATTTTTTGTTTAGAACTTAATTTTCTTTTTTTTTTAAACTGGGAAATCATTTAGTGACCCATTGGAAACGTTTAATGAAGGGCAATTTTTTTATAACCACAAGATGTTTGCAAAACAATATAATTTAGATCAGCCGTCGGCAAAGTGTGGCCCATTCAACTTCACAATGTGGCTCATCATACTGCTTGCAAAAGAAAAACATATTCGATTGCGTTAAAATTTTTCAAAAAAATTTTGAGAATTTAATTTTAGATATAGGAACATAAAAATCCATACAAATTTATTATTTGTCAAAACAAAACAATCAATCATTTTTCTTGTAAGTATAGGTAATGTAAGAAACTCGACTGGACCATACTTGGAAGTATGGAATCGACTGGAAATATGTACTATGCTCACACATAGTACATATTTGCCCATAGCCCACAAAAGTTTACCGACAGCTGATCTGGATCATCTAAATAGGGTTTGTATAATTTTTGTGTGAGTTGCAAACTAACTTTTCAAAAAGAAGCAACATAGTGTTTTTATACATAAGTTGTGTTGGAATAAAATTAAAAATATACACACATCTACATTTATAAATTTATACATTTATTCGAATTTTATTATGATTGTGCGATCTTGTTTGCCCACTAAATGTTATTAATGTTATAATTTAGAAATTAAACTTTACCACAAACAACTTTTTGTCTTGTGTGTTTTTTAAATTTTTTTTTGTATCCAATAATTTTACGTAGGTATCAATTTTATTTTACCCATTAAATTTTAACTTCTCCTCACCTATATACCATACAAAATCAATTATGTTATGCTAGGTAAAACAATTTAACGTTTAAATAGTACAGAGGAAAGAGAAGAAGAAAGCTGATTTTTCTTTTCAGCTTTTTTTTTTGAATTTTTATTAAGAACTTTAAAATTTTATTCTTTAATTTTCTTGTTTTTAAAGTGTATTCAGAGCACGTTTCCTACAAAAAAAAATAGAATTACAAATAAAAATAAAGTGAAAATATTTTCAGTGAAAAACAAATACGAACATTTTTAATCTCTTTAAAATAA